GGAAGGTATACTGTGCCGCATTGCTTCGAGGGCATGCGGTGCGCGAGGTCGCGCGGTCGTGGATTATACCAAGATTCCTATAGATAGATTATACAATGTACGGCCCTCCAGGTATTAAGTGGTTGGTTGCCAACATCCCAATAATCAATCTGCATTGCTGAATACGTCTAATGGCTGTTGAAAACCACTGCCGCATGTGTGCACGAACCCTCTTCTCATTTCTATTGAGTCATTTTACAGGAGTGTCTCTGTCATTTCAAGTTATCACACCGAAAGCACATAGGCTAACCAACCACTCTTTTGCTGGAGGGCCGTACATGCAAATTTAGAATCATAACTTTTTGAATCCGACACTGTTAGTTCCCTGTAGTTTGAAATCCCGGCAATGCACTACATCCGGGCACCAGTGAACATATGGAGAGTCCAATAGGCTGTTGCATCCTTATTGCTTAATAACAACATCCAAATCCCTGAGAAGTTTGATTGAAATACGTTTGTGCACAATTTTACATCGTCGAACAGAATTCTGAAAATCCGCACAGGCCTTGGTGCATGTAGTAAACACCATTCAATGTACAATATTTTCATTCGGCTGTGGCATTCTGGGAGCCTGTATTCGGTCGTAAACATTTCTGGGACACAGTGGGTTACCATATTCGTTCAACATACGGCTCGGATTCTATTCCTGCTACTTGCTAGCCTGTCTGACCTGCTTGATATACGCTTACAGTTTTCCTCAAATCCCATTTCACCGTCAGTGTGGCTCTAGCAGTGACAATAGGAATTTGTCTCTTACCCATTACCTACCCAATGCTTTGTCTTCCACATGCTTTCGTGAAAAGTGTATTTCCATATCTATCTTAAACATGAAATGAAACTTTAGAACCGGAATGATCAACCATGACATGTTGCATGCGTCAATCTTAGGCAATATCACGTAGTGCCCGCGTTTTATTGACCTAACCACTTATAACATATGTCTTGATATCCCAAACGGCGTGTCGTCTATCTCCATACTCTCGCAATGGTGCAGGCGGCTACCTGCAGCGGTACAATCGTGGCCAATCTGCGCGCACCGGCGCTCACCAGGGTGGCTATTTCCGTTTTATGAGGTGTACCGCCGTCTGTTCCGCAAAAGAATCGACCCCTCCCACATCCTGCGCGGTATATTGCTCGTAGAAATGACACTGTTGCCTTCATTTCTAGGTGGGCTGGCTGCCAGCGCGGCACACATGCCTCTGCTGGGGTCCCTAACGACACTTCAGGTGACCACCGCCGCCGCCTCCGCAGATAGCGTCGCGCTGCCCAGTGGTAGCGCCACACCAGCTATATGTACGTAATGTTCCCCTGTTTGACCAGCCCTGCAGCGTTGCAGGGTCCACGCAAGGCAGCAAGTAGCGGCAGCCGGTATTTGAAGCTCCATTCAAGCGAATATGAGTATGAAATCGTCATTTGTACAGTGAAGCAAATTCTTAGTCGCCATTAGTAACCAAAAGCACATTTACAAGACTGTAAAACTTCCTGACAAACGATCAGACTGATGCCATGCTCGGAACATTTTGGCGATATTGGCTAGCTGAGATTCTCAGTGTCCTATACAGCATACCTACATGATAGAAATGAGAAACTAATACCGATTCAGAGATGTCTGATGATCTGATGCATTTTCATCAAGACTGGGGCTTTCTTGAACGATGTGCCAACTAAGGGCGGAGTAAGACAATGTAGATCATTGCTCCTGTTATAACTGAATCTCAACGATCCAGTGAATTAATCATCAACGATCCAGTGAATTAATCATCATTACCACCGATAGTCACATAAGGCGAAGGAAGTCATCGCGAATGAAACCTAGACCAATATGGCTTATATCTTACGTAACACACACTTAGTTGTGACACTAATGTTGAGCTTCACCAATGGACAGTCCGAGCAGAAGAAAGGGATCTAACCCGTTAGCCGTGTGAGAGCGGCGTGAGAGCGTGCCGGGTGGCCGCGGTCGGCCGGTCCATTCTGGACGGCGCAGCGCCGGCCCGGTGTGAGCGACCATTGCCGGCCGGCCGCCGCGGCCCGGTGATTCATCTGGCGGTGGCAGCAGCTCGATCGGCCGGCGCTCGCTGCTCCTCCGCCTCCTCTCTCTGCCAGATAACGCGGCCGCCGCTCCACCGACCCGGGGTCAGCACCATTAGGGTCAGCGCGACGGATGGTGGACGGGGTCAGAGCCGCAACGGAGCGCTGATAGACCATCAATAGTTAGACACAGAGCAGCCTGGAGGCCCACTAGCAGCCGGACACGGGCATATGTTCCACCTTGGGACCATATATATATGTAACCGGATGTCGTGGTAAATACGATGGCATAAATTCACAGGCCCACCTCCGTGACCAGACGGGAGATGTATCTACGTCTAAAATCTGAACTCATGGCTGCATCTGAATTATGGACATCCCATATGCATTATACATCGTACGACCACTGGGCTGTGACTGGATTAGTCTGTAGGTACTGTTCTAAATCGGTGCAGACTTATAGCTGCTCACCATTGGTAGATGCGACTCAGATGGATTGTTCGGGCACTTAGCCTGGGTTGCCAATGGCGGAGTTTTATACCTATGGCATTTGCTGAGTAATTGGGGCTTATTGGCTATTTGCGCAATGCGCATGCTTTTCCTAGAAACAATCATATCGACTCTACTCAAGATACCTGAGCTAGTTGAAGAGAGAAGCTGTAACAAAAACCGTGAATGATCAAGAATCTCTCTCCCTTCTCTCTCTCTCTCTCTCTCTCTCTCTCTCTCTCTCTCTCTCTCTCTCTCTCTCTCTCTCTCTCTCTCTCTCTCTCTCTCTCTCTCTCTCTCTCTCTCTCTCTCTCTCTCTCTCTCTCTCTCTCTCTCTCCGCTCTTTGTAATGGTAGTACCCGGCAATCGGTAAGCGCATGTGTACATCTGGTATTACAGCTCATCGTGTGAAATATGAAACTAGGGATAGCTAAGGAAGTGATCGATGATTGTAAGATGATTGCGATATCAAATGATTGGCAAGATTCTAAGCGGAAGAAATAAACACACGGAGAGCTACATATAACGAAGTCTAGAGGAGATCATCGTATGTTAAATTTGACATGGAGAGACTCATATAAATGGAGACGACTTGGGGTGACTAATTGTATATGCACTAAATACTGGTTAGGAACTAACACGGCGGCGCCGATTAAAGGCATTTTTTCCATCGTCATTAGACTATAGGCTAGATATAACTTGGTTGAAAGATTGCTTCGTCGTCTAAGGTTCAACTTAGCTTTGAGCTATTATGCTTGTATAAAGAAACCGTTTATACATAAACGCACCATCAGTATTCAGTTGTGTACTCGAGTTGTGAAAGAGTTGCAAGTGACCACCTCACTTGGCACTACGTTGGGAGTAATTTTCATGCACTCTGCACCTCGCCAAACTCCCCCAGAGCAGACACTTGCGGTGTTTTTCCGTGTCGCTTTATGTAGTCGTTCGCGGAGGGCCGGCTGACCGCATCTGGCAAACATGTCGGTGCCGACGACTGCTGCCCGCCCGAGCGGCCTATCCCTCCGAAAATGGGCTCAGAAGTGCGCCCAGACGTGATCCAATTTGAGTGAAGTGCGCGCTAAGAGCCTGTTTACTCCGGTCGGCCGCGGAGTCGTGTGATCTAGCCAACAGCCGAGCAGAGAGGCCCAGCTGAGCACCAACTAACGCAGGTGCTTTTCTTTGCGGTTCCGCCTCGTTGCTTCCTTACATCCTATTTTCCTACCCTTCTTATTTATTTCTTACCTGCTTACTTATCTTACTTATTTCGTCACTTTTGAAGTTATGAACATTGAATGGCATGATGTACATAGTATTGAAAGTGTATCCAGTGAAATGGCAAAATGCCTCTTAAGTTTTAACTTGATGGTCTTTTTCATTAGTTGACAACCATTGTCCGAATGCATGGACTCGGTACAGACGAACCAAGGCACATGACACGCCCATTTACAAACTCAAAACTGGGCCCCGTGGGAACCCCATCGGCACGCATCAATTGGCGCGGCGTAGTGGTACTCAACAACAGCTCTGTGACTACGAATAAAAACGGTTCGTCTTTTCATTTTTACCGAAGTCAGACATCTTAGAAATGTGCCTCAAATGTCTCAAATGCCCAACAGTCTTGCATTCTCAAGAAATTAAGAAAATCATTGAAATTTATGCTCATTTACATTTGTATTATTGATGAGAAATCGTAGTGATTCGTCTCTTACCGACAAACATTAGTGCACGTCGAGAATCATACCAGCTCCAACAAAAGACTTTCTGCCAAGCGCTTCTCACGAGAAAAGATCCTGTCCAAAGCTAAAATACTGTGTCCATGAGCCTCTCCTTTGTCGCTGCCGCCTCGGACAGACGAGTATTTTCGAATCTCTGCGGCGGCCATGGCAGGGTGCTCACAGCGGTTTCCAATATTGGCTCCGTGGCAGAGCCTGCCGTCGGCGAGGGTCGGACGGGCGCCTAGTGAGAACAATCGGACCGTTACCAACAGGAACAATGTGCCGGGTGACGTGCTGTGTGGTCCACGTCCACGTCATGTCGTCGGTGGCGGTGGGAGTTTGGCTGGAAACGAGAGATTGGTGATTTACTGTGATGGATGACGATTTCGTGCGCCTTTTGTCGGCATCAGGTAGCGACTACTTTTTCGTTTCTACATGCTCCTTGTATGTATGTGCATCCCAAGAACCGTTGCGCTAATTGCGTTCAAATTTAGTAGACCATCAACAATCTGCTAAAATCGTTGCACGCACAAGTCAATTACGGTTTCGCATGGCACTTGGGCCATCGCAGGCCTGCGAGGAAATCTAAAGAGAACTCTGCTGGCTGAGCGTCTAGCAACTGTTACTGTACGACTTACGAGTTACGAGCATATGCATATCATCGCTAATGTTTGTGCTTCATGCCAAATGTGCCGACTAATTGAGACCCTGTGGCAGACCATCTCGTCAGTTCAAACTGCATTGCACACATCTCCGAAGACGAAATCCAGGACATTTGTTGACGATTAGGGCAAACAGCATGTAATAAAACATGCTTGAAAACAAACATGTTTGAAAACATGCTGTTTAAGTTGCATGTAAACAACATGCAAACAGCAGTTGTAACACTTTAGACGTGCCCATCACCCTTTCACTTACACGTCAGTGTGTGTATGCACTGCACTGCACACTGGCGGCCTAGGAGAAACATCCAGGACAAACACTTTCACCTTTTGCACACAAATACACCGATACGAGCACACAGTTTGTGTTGGCGAGATCTCAACATCAGCATGAATATACAACATTTCACTTCTTCTTACGTTTCTTTCCTCTCTTCTTCTTCTTCCCCTTCTTAGCCTTCTTTTTCTTTTTCCCTCCCTTCTTGCTCTTCTTTGTCTTTTTGCCTTTCGACTTCTTCTTACCTTTCTTAGGAGACTTTTTCTTCTTACCCTTCTTGTCTTTCTTTCCTTTCTTTTTCTTCTTGTCGCCCTTTTCTTTCTTTTTACCCTTTTTATTTTTACCTTTCTTTTCTCCTTTTTTCTTTTTCTTTTTCTTCCCGCCACCGTCATCATCGTCACCCCCTCCGCCACCTCCACCACCGCCACCACCATCATCATCATCGTCATCACCACCTCCCCCTGCACCACCTCCTCCCCCACCCCCTCCTCCTCCTCCCCAACTGGCCAGGTCACTGACAGCAGAGGAGTCGTCCCCGTATCCCGTGCTGTCATCACCGTCTTCATCGTCATCTTCCTCCTCGTCTTCGTCAAAAGCCGGCGCGGACCGTCGGGAGGTCCGGTGGCTCGGCGCCGGCCGTTCCACGTCCTCCACCTCGTCCTCGCTGGACTGCTCCAGGTCCTCCTCGTAGAAGGCAGCGTCCTGAACGCGACAACGATATGCGTGTTTAGGAGTGTCTAGCAGATAGAATGATATAACATACAAACAAAATTGTAAAAGTGCAATGGTCGAAAATGCATCATGGCAGTGGATGCCTTTCATTAGTCACAGACTCACAACGAATGAGGGTTGAACAGCACATCAGCATCCTCTCAGCTCGTATATGATACAGCACATAACACTGTCCATGTGACATGACACAAAGCAAGACCTAACCCTGGCGACAAGGTATAGGACACCCTACTCAGGTAAAGACAACCTCTGAGTACTTACGGGTGGCTCGATGTCGGGCGTTGGGCCGCTGGAGCACGGCCACTTTTTGAGCAGGTAGCCGGGAGCCATCATCTTGGGATTGCCCCAGTTGTACGCCAGGTCCATGGACGTTTGTAGCCAGCGGGCCAGCGTCAACATTATCAACTGACAATAGACGGAGAAGCACATGCGTAATTTGAATGAATTATCGTTAATCGAAAAATACCCATCAAAGTACAGGCTCAGAGGCGCTTAGATAATCAAGTTCAGCATCTGTTTTTATGGTGACATCAGTGTTTAAATGTATTGGAATCATTAGTTCTTTATCATCCCAAAGCTGAAGGAACAGTAGCATTATTTCTCGAGCCTGAAAAAGTCGCGAGGTCGTAGGGGTATACCTGGAATATCCAGATGGTGAACAGTGTCGTCATGGCCATGCCGATAACCCAGAACACGGTCCTGGAGAGTGCCTCCCCGCAGCCGACCCGGTGGAAGATGCGCTCCTGGAGCGCCTGTCGACTGACCTTGGAGGGCTGGAACCAGCCGTCCAGCTGCGCCACGGACGCCTCCAGCTCCAGCTGCGGCAGCAGCGCCTCCAGGCGCCCCTCGAACGGCGAGTCCGTGTCGGCGGCGCCGATCGGACCCGAGCCTCCGTCCAGACCGTGCAGCTGAAACTGAGGGAAGGCACCCGACAGCTTCTTCGATATGTCCTTGGCGGGCTTTGGTGTCGTCTTCTTGCCTCGTTTCGGAGCATGATATTTCTTTTTCTTGGGTTTCGTTTTGGATCTAGGACTTCTTTTACGCCTTGAGTAGTTGAAAGACTTGAAAAGAGGAGGCCCAGGGCCACTTTGCAGCACGTCGTTCACCGGACTCCAAGCGACAATCGTGTCGCGGCTGCCTTTATCGCTACTATTGTTTGTCGTGGTCCCGTTCATTGCCTGGTCGGTACTCCAGGTGGCATTTCTGTGAGTTGATGTGGCCGCCTCTTTCCGACCCTCCCTCCGCCACGGTCCGGGTTGAAGCAGTGACACGCTGCGGCGCCGACGCCGACCGGATTTGGCCTCGTGCGGCATCAGGTCCCAGATGGAGTCACACACCAGAAGGATGCTTGAGTTGCAGCAGCTCCAGGGTGCCCACGGCAGCACCAGCTCTCCCTCCGGGGTCCGGTACGAGCTGAAACACGAAGAGTGAGACAGTGGTGGGCGCAGTGGGCACTGTACAGAAGTGACGCCCCGCCGCCGGCTGGTCCTAAGTGACAGAGACTGGACCTGTTGAACATATCAAATACGGTGCTTGTCAAACATATCACATACGGCATACCCCGGACATTACGAACGTCTATCTGACACTGAACTTGTCGAGCATCTCACATACACCGATTTCCTTGAACATTCCAAATCAAACTCAAAAACACTATTCATTGGAGGACTCCATGCATACTGCATCCTTATGCCCATCATGTGCGGTGTTTACGGCTAAGCAAGGGATTGTCCTTCGCCGCGCTAAGAATACTCATGCGATGTGAACCTTTTGGCGAACTGTTTGCTGGGCTTGACGTCCTCAATGTTGACCCAGCTGATCCTCATCCAGTCGTCGAAGCCGTTGCCGCCGCAGCAGTGGTGGCTGACCTGCAGTCTGTCCAGCTGGCTCTTGGTTCCGCTGTCCAGCTGCGGACACAGCCGGAGTGAAACTCTGGTCACGGCGAGATGTAACCTTCAGCGAGATATAATGCTTCCACTCTCCAGTCATCATTGCGGTCGGCGGGTCATTCACCGCAGCCACTGACTTTTACCCAGCATTTGGTATTCAGCATAAGATTAACAACGCCTCCTTAATCTTTGCTGCTATGGAGGGCAGTAAATTTAGCTATGAAAATAAAAAGTTAGTTCATTAGCCTGACCTTATGCCTTTACCAATGACCATTCCCTGAGGCCATCAACGGTTCTCTCATCTATACCTCACTAGCCGTCAAATGCACATAGCGCACGCTTATTACATACCTACATTTATAGTTACAAATGTCGCATGACATAAACCAAATGGCAGCAACATACCAACCAGGATATCGCTCATAATGCGCAATATGACGTGAAGCCGTAAATAAAGCAAACTAATGTTGCTTTTGCTAAAATTGTATGTACCTTATGTACCTACATACTTAGCGACTAGCAGTGGGTACCTGGCGATAGGGTATTGTCCCTACTAGGCTATCAATTTGGAAATAGCACAGACAACTGTTGACAAGGGTAGAGCACACTTCTCTTATTTGTACATTTTCTATTATTATTTTTTTTATTCAGGTGCCTGCTGCTCACCACCACCCACCTTGTAGCGGACGGCTGCCTCGTTGAAGCCGGCAATGAGCGCCAGCTCGATGCGACCCTTGTGAACGGCACAGAGTACCAGGGCAGAGGAGGGCACCAGTGAGACCAGCAGCGCCGCCAGCAGCCAGAACGAGAAACACGAGTGGAAACGGTCCCTGTGCAGACGGAAACACACCGTCACAGCTGAGTGGCGCTCCCATTGACAGCAGGGAAGTAGCGCTTACAGCTGAATTCGGATATAATCTATCAATATAATTATCAATGCGATATATTCAAGCCTCAATGAGCTTCAAAGCAACGTGAAATTTGCTAGAGTTTGATATTTTCAAATGCTGCATTGCGTTATAAGTTTTTTTTTTACCTCGTTTTCCAGTTGCCGCAGTCGTAGCAGATTTTCGCCCCCGGACCGTGGAAGATGATCAGGGTGGCCGAAATGCTCAGCATCATATGAAAGAGCACGTCCGGGTTATAGTTTTTCAGAAGCTCTGCCTTCGTGCCGAGCTCATATCGGATATAGATACCGAGAAAGAGTAAAACATGAGCCATTCCTGTGGGCAGACAAGCAAGGCCGATGTAAAAGTAATGCATTTAGATTATGTCCGTAACCTGTCTGGAAATGCTGAGAATGTTAAACCTATGACAAGGCTGTGGATTTAACGTAAAACTAACATCGTTATGTAAAGCTTTCTTGAAAACTAATAATACAAATGAAGTACCACCGATTAATCTTTGAGCACTCACAAATTTGATCAATGGATCAATGCATGCAAATCTGGTGACATTAGTACAGCATCATTGCAAAGTTGGATCTAAAAAAAGTGATGACAGCTGTTTCTCCAAATACATTCGAGAAATAACGATGTTATGCTTTATCAAGCTTTTATTTCACAATGAAAGCTTGAAACATTATTACCTTATACTCAAGGATGGCACGTCAAGAAGTCAACTCTACATCGCAATATATATCCAACACCAATTATAAAAAAATGTTGCTCACCGACGATTATGGCGTTGACGGCCATCAACGCAACACCCAGTGTTCCTCTGGATCGTTCCCGCAATGGTATCTGACAGACTGGCATGATGTAGCACGACTTCACGTCATTCAATAAATAAACAAACAAAAAGCGCCCTCGATCACAGCTTTAGAGCGTCATAAAATTGTAAGTAAAGATTAAAGCAGAACGCTGCTGGAGGCCAACTTCTTTGACTTCCATCGATAACGTCTCTGTTCATGCTCGGACCGTTCCTTTGAATAAGCATGAATACTTTTGAAGCTCGCTTGCGTTTTAGATCGCTGGCACTGATCGATATGATAGTAACACTAACCCTCTGAAAGGAAGTAAATGCAAGTTGAATCGTGAATTTCACACCATTTTCTAATGTTAGATAGGTTGCATATTTTGCCTACTTGCGCCATTTTCGCTCAACTATTATGCATGCGTTTTGCAAATTAACGCATGATCATGAACCTTGGCATGAACCTTGGTATGAACGTTTCTGCTACCGTGTTCAATGTATTGCACGTGCTTTTATGCAAAACTGCACACTTTTTAAACGACCTTATAATAAAAGGGAGGCAAATCTCTTTTTAAAAACCTTGCGCATGCTGTGCTTGAGAACATAGTTATTACTTTTGGGGACTTAATCAAAGTGTCTACTCTCGGTGTAGTATTGGTAACTACTGAGGCATATATATCCGAAACATTTATTTCTTTTGTAATTCAAATTTATCAATGCTTCAGTTTTAGACACATACCTATGGTAAGGCCAAGAAAATGATCACCAGTGTAGCCTGGTAAATATTTAAATAGAATCAGCTATAAAAGCTAACCAGGTATAAATGCCAGTTACTTATCATAGCTCAAATAAGCTCTCATAGCAAAAGGCCCACCAATTATGAGAATACATTATAACTTACCCCGTGCACTCAGCCATTGGTTCCCCAGCGGGAATCCGCGCTCAATACGCGTCCAGTAATTAGACGTCAGATTGGCACTGAACCGCAGGGACGTCCCCATTGCCGTCAGGCCCGGCTGCATACCATTGGGCCGCCGCTCGGGGGACATTGGCCGGTCTGTGACCTCCAAATGGCGCCGTTACCGTCACATGCTCCCGAGTCACAGTCACGTGAGAAGAATCGACTGTGGCAGGCTGAGTGGGAGCTTTGCATATCTGAATGCACGCTGCACAGAGATCTCTGCTTTCCAAGAGAAACGAGATATCGTAGGGCTCGTTAATGGCGCTAGAAGTTCAATACTATATAAATAGTTCGTTTTTTTTTCAAAAGGACGCTGGCTCAAAGTTCCTTATCGAAGCTCTCACGTGAGTTTTGGCAGCTTCAGCGTCTGGCCAAGAATTTCTTACCGAAAAAATATTCGATTTCAAATTGTGCACGGTAAGTGCCTGGAAATTGTGTCTTGAAAAAATAGCATACTATGATGGATGACATGACGTCACTGGTGGCAGCAGGCACTCAATGTCCGTACGATGAGACCAAGTTTCGACGAATTTGGGGGAAACTTCGTTTTTCACTGTTGCTGAGGTTATAATCGAGTAAGCGGTTTCGTCCATGATAGTTTTACGCTACATTGCAAAACAAGTTCGACTGCATGACGTCACCACTGTTCTCAAATCTGGTTCCAAAACGCACGAATGGAAATTATCGGGAATAATTCACATGTTAACCCTCGCCCATGTAGGGGGGGGGGTTGGTGCAACCCCCCCTGAGGTTTTTCGGAAATAGTGCAAAAACGGCGGCGCGCAGCGCCGCCAAAGTTTGGGTACCTTATGGGGCAAACCTTGCGCATCTTTTGCTAAAAAAATTTGACCGGGTTATGGCAGGTCACGGAGTTATGACGTCACAAAGGGAACAGCCTCCGGCCGGATTTTCACAAACTGAGTGCCAACGCCCGAGGTTTCCTGCCGGTGGTACGGACATCGGTTGATGGATCGTGATGAAACTTCCCATGCATGTTGGAGCACGTATTGGCTATCATATGGTATAAGAAACTTGACCGGGTCAGGTCAGGTCACGGAGCTATGACGTCACAAGAGGAACAGCGTCCGGTACTATTTTTGAAAAGCGCCCGAACCACTATTTTGCTAATTCTTGTCGCCTCAATGGGAATATGCAGCAATATTAGCTTCTATAGGGAGCAAATGGACCTCCCAAATCCAAAAATACAATCAGATTTCAAAAATTTAAATTTTGATTTTTCGAATTTCTGCCGCCGACTGTGACCTTGCCGACTTCCGGCGCTCCCAACGCGCCATTTTTAGAGCTAGGGAAACGAAATACATACCAAACGATAGAGAATTGATCAGGGAACACGATAGTGAAGGTTTCAAGCCGATATCTCCCACCGTTTTGCCGCAATCGCCGCCGAAAGTTGAAAAAAGTCTATTTTCTGAAAATTTGACCTTTGACCGGTCAAAAGTAGGTCAAATATTGACCTAGGACCAAAAAATATACCACCAATCGCGAGATCTCGGCGAGAGCAATCCGTTGGTCTTTTCCGCTAAGCTCTACGACGCTCCGTTTTCAAACGCCAAGGGGGGGTCGCACCAACCCCCCCCCCCCCTGCATGGGCGAAGGTGGCAGATCGCCGTTTACGGGCGAGGGTTAAAATAAGGCGACGTTCGAGCTTCTCAAGTTCAGTTTTTGCTAGTTTTGCTCGCTAAAACGCGTGCTTTTTCGAAAAACATACTTGGAGCCAGCGTCCTTAAGAAAAAAAAACGAACTATAGTACGAACGACATTTCATGGGAAAAACATGTCAATGAAACAGTTAGCATTTATTCGGTTTGAAAATCTCCCATCTGATAGTGACATTTTTAGAAGAATGGGAAGTAAAGGATTTTGAAAAAGAATATTGCAGAACATAGGTGGTGTATATAAATGGACTAATCTTTTGGTGCCGAGTGTCATGTTTTTTTCTTCAATCAACTGGAATCAAAGAAAGGTATTTGCTATAGTTCGTTTTTTTTTAAGTTTGACCTTCACTGTAAACGTCTTTTTGAACATAGCACGAGAATTGCTAGCTGAATTACTGAGAAAACTGGTTGGCGCACACTGATTTAACCAGATTTCACAGACGATCAATTTCATCAAATTTATTTACTATTTCACAGACTCGTAAATCGTATCTGCCAATACCTACAGCCTCACAGGGATAGACGACTTCTCAGGACTTATGTCTGAACTAATAAATAAATTGCACGGCGCTTAACATAACGTTAAATCGTCGATGTTCAAAACTTATTTTTGAAAATATTATTCATATCTACAATACAATGTGCGCTTACCAGTTTTCTCAGTAATTCAGCTAGCAATTCTCGTGCTGTGTTCAAAGAGACGTTTACAGTGAGGGGCAAACTTAAGAAAAACGGACTATAGTCAATTAATGGTAAAAAACGTTCTTTATAAATTAAAATGACGCGTAGCGTTTAATTTCCCCTTTGCTTGCATCCGTTTCAATTTTAAGGCTTTTTATCCACAAGCTTTTTAAAGATGACATTGCAAAAACCTCAGAAATTCTTAGTAATAGTTGTTTCTAATTCATTTGGTCGGGGCGTATGCAGAAACTCGCTCGGTTTGGCAATGCTTCAGTCCGCAAGGTCGTTTTATGCTGATTTTTAGCCCCCTGCACAGCTTTCATCACCCCACTTGTGAACTTGTTTGGGGAAGAAGTTTGCGCGCCGTCGGAGCGAACTGGATGTCCGCGCCTACGCAGTGAGGCACATTAGACCGGTCTGCATAATGCAGCGTCTCAGGTTGCACGGCGCTGCTGCATTACCACCACTCCAAACAGTCGGCAATGTCTCTTACCATAACCCGGGGAGCGAGACACCGCATCCACCTCGAAGGCCATCTAGGTCGCGTTTTATTACTTTTGTTTCCTTGGATGATGCGTCTTAACCCGGCACCGCCTGGGCTATTTCCGTACCCACGACAGCCGGGGGGGGGGGGGGTCGGATCCGACCCCCCTGTTATCTCGAGAACCAATGGTCGCATCGAGCCCCGCGAGGCGGCGTTCGAAAGGTCTCTACGAGACCTTCCCAAAGCACTCTTAAGATTTTAAGATTGAGGTCAACTTTCGGGTCAAGGTCAGGTCAAAGGTCAAATTCTGGGGTTTTGCATGATTAGGCTTACGGACAGCGGAATCGACAGCTGTTGCTCGAAACTCACCAAAAATGACCTCAAAGGCTTAGTGAAGGTAGGAGAGAGTGGGGTAAGATGCCCAGGGTGGGCAAGACGCCCCACCCCCTCTACCGGCAATGCAAAAAATCAAACCTGGAAATTAATGATCCTAGCGTAAAGCGGAAAGCTTCCTTGTTTACTGCACAAAAATTTGCCAAGCTCAGTTGGGCAACGGTGGGCTGGTGGTTGGTTGTTTTATATGTGCTGCTTTCAAAAAATATTTTAGTGTCAAAACATTGTGAATATCAAGGAAATTGTAATTTTTTTAAGTCCTTTGCTATTGTCGTGATACATTTATATGCGTGTACTTTGCCTCAACTAGTTTGTTTCAGGGTGTAGTTTTAGTGCTAACAAAACGTACCGATTAAATGAAATTCGGTACCTTGGGGAAAGATGCCCCCTGACCTGATAGGGAAAGACGCCCCCCTAAATCCGTGGGTTGCCCTTCAGGCTTCAAGGAACTCGTCGAATCATTTAGTACATACTTGTGAAGAAAGAAAAAAGTCGATTTGGGACTATTGAGAGTCCAATACGGTCAGGTGCTCGCCATGTCGGTCTCTTGGCTCATATGCCTACTTTTTGGGCGGTATCTGACTGAGAGCCCTCACGACGGCCTCTGTGGGCCCCATTATTGGCTCCGAGGCCCCTCACGACACTCTTTGAGAGCTCCTGCGCTGGCCCCACGGGCCGCGCTGGCATGTGAGGTCCCCACGATGGTCTTGAGGGCCTCATGAAGACCTATAGGGCCCCACAACGGTCTCCGAACGTCACCACGGAAGCTTGTTTGGCCGCGCTGGGCTATGATGGCCCCCACGATAGCCTCTGAAGCACCTTGCGCCGACTTTTTTTTGCCCTTATGGTGGCGTTTAATTGTTTACCGCAGACTCGAATGTAACTGATTCGTTCAGGCAATTCACGTGCCCATTTTTGTCACTTATAGTGCGGAGGGGCATCTTACCCAACCGCAGGGGGCGTCTTTTCCACCCTTTGGGTTAAGATGCCCCTTTGCACTTCATATTTCAAGCACAAAAGTGTGTTATTTTGTGGAGAAAAATGATGTCGGATTCCGTTGAAACTCCAAGTTTTTGCTTTCCGATTGTGATTTTCGAATAATTTATGACTTTGCAAACCCCTGGGCATCTTTCCCCACTCTCCCCTCCCATATGCGTATAGGGGTCATACTAAGTACGGGTCAAGGTCAGGTCAGGTCACGAAAGGTCACGGTTTTCACTTTCTGCTACATGGGCGTGCGACACATGTTTTATGGCTTATTTTTCACGCCGAATCCGATGTTAATGGTTATATGTGACCCCAAGTCACTGTGCTGGTGATAAGTGTGCATTGAAAGCATAAAAAATCGTTTATACCATACATAACTAAACGAGGGCTAAGAAAAAGGTCAATTTTTCAACTTTTTTTGACATAAAAATGCACTTTTCTAGACGAGCTTTGTCCCAGGAATCTAGTGGTGCCATTTGTTTTCACATGCGATGTTCAGAAAAACCTCTAATTCACGAAAATGCTTATGACGTCACCATGCCTTATGCATGTTGGAGCTATTTTTTACAATTTGGGGGTCAAAAATCAAGATAAAAGTTGAAATTTGGGACATCTAATGTACTAATAGAGCTCTATAACATATATTCCGGTTGTTTGGAAATTCTCAAAATTTTGGATTTTATTAGCTGTTTTCCAAAAACTGTAGTTTTTTGAATTTTTAGGGGTGAAAAACTCATTTTATGGAAAATCCGAGATAGCCATTTTAAAGAACTCGTTGAGCTGCGTCTATTCATGTCCTTAATTTGCAATTTGCTTAAAACCCTGATTTTTGGCGATTTTTTAAACATTTACCACTTTTTGACTGAAAACGCCATGTAGTTACGTCACTAAAATCGATATATCTCAAAATGTTTTTAGAATTTTTTTCCTTACAAATTGCACAGGAGACGTCAAATTGATGGGGGAGAAGGTATGCCAAGTTTCAAGTCGATAGCGTGGGCGGTTCATAAGTTATTCAAGAAAAACGGAGGGGGGGGTCGGATCCGACCCCCCAGGCGGTCGCGGGTTAAATAATTGAAAGATATGCAGAATAGGGTATGATTCATTGCCTCGGTAGCATTATTGCTATGCGTTGTGAATCAAATACGTTAGATATTGCTGGAAATCACGTTGATCGTTCTACGACCTTTCAGTTCCAAATCAATCAAACAGTTATACACGTTGCAATCACATTTATCTAGCAAATCAGCCTCCTAATCTTCGTACGACAAGAGTGGTTTGGTATAAGCTTTACGGTATTATGGTATTCTGTTGAGTGGTTGAGTTCTGATCGAGTTTAGCTTAGTGGTCTGATCGAAGGGCTGATATAAATAGGTATCCTGCTGGTATCGCCCATCTCTTGGCGGACGCTATATGTTCTGGCCGACCTGGCTCGCTGTGTGAACTCGTGGGCGCAGTATCAGGTAACTGTCTGAAACACTGCATGCGGTATCAGGTAACCGCCGCCGGGCGTCTGTGGCGTGTCTACGCTATCGGCGGGGTCGCTCGGTCCGCCCGCCCACCCGCCGGACACTGGAGCCGCCTCCCGCTGTCAGCCGAGCGGTCCGGATCCACAAACAACAAACACCCGCTGTCAGCCGAGCGGTCCGGATCCACAAACAACAAACACATCCGGAGAGGAAGCCGACAGAGACCGGCAGCGCACACAATGGATCCGACCCGGACACAGACAGGATTCAGACTGGATTTATATGGTTAACGTCGGGTACCGGTCACCTTCAACATGCGCTGCATAACGCATACCGATATTTACAACTTTTTTGCATCATTATAAATAAGTACAGCCTTTATTTACCTAAATTTGTACATCACAGCTCCTAATGTTTTAATCCGGCTCTGAAAGTAACACGTTAAGTCGAAAATAATAAATGTGTAGCTGGCGTTGACACTGATGTTGAGAAAACTCGACACTGACTGGAAAATAACGAGCGTCGCCGTTGCCGCCACCAGCCAGCCATACAGACCCTGCCACCAGAGAGCTGTGGACATCTGGGACAAAAACGAAGGGAAGACATCTCCGACTGAGACCACTGGGCGGCCTCCAGGGGGGGGGGGGGGGGGGTGGAGGGAGAGGCGAGGGTTGACCGGGGACGGCGAGCGGCGTCCGCGACGAGCGAGTTCTGAGAGACCAGCGCCGAGTCAAGATCTGCAACGGACGACCGGCAGATATTTCAGTTCAGTCCCCAGCTTACGATCTATAAAACCAAACAATACCATTGGTTAAATCAAACGAAGACGTAGCGTACTGATTAACCAACACCTCCTTATAAACTGACTTTGTATAAAGAGCGGAGAAAACAAGATGATGTGAAAATGGGAAACTGTAAGTTGCACGAGAACTCGGGTAAACATGTCACATTAACTTCTTGTGTACGCAAACGAAGGCCGATAACTACGAATGGAGGCCGAAATCGGCCGTAAGGGGGTGGACAAGTAGGTTTTCGGACACGGGCTACAAGATGGCTATCTCAGTTTCAATCCCCATGTTAAAGGTGGCCCTTTTCCTTTAATAACTAAGCCTTAACTGCTAAAGCTTTTCCAAGGCTGTGCTCTAGCTCTCACTATTCATTGCCCTCGGGACTCCCTCATGTTCCCGTTGACTTGTAATTATACATGATTGCCCGTTTGAAATGTTACTCTGCTATGCATGTAAGGACAAAAGCAGCGCTGCTTAACCCTATTAGTGGCAGGCTCCTGGCTACCCCATATTAGTGGCAGGGGGGGGGGGGCTGTTTACGACCCCCCCTTGATATCTCGAGATCTAACGGGCCGATTTTCAAAATTCAAACGGCATTCGATTTCCCTCAACGAGATCTACATTTCAAAAAAAAAAAATTAAAAAATGTCAATAGGGGGGTAGAGGGGGGTAAAAACGGGCAAATTGCAGATACATTTTAGACTGTTTATCACGGCCAGGTTTCTGAACCAATCTTAACGCAACTTTTGCCGATCGATAGAGAATGAACCAGGAATTCACATGGATCCTAAAAATATGCATTTTCAAAAATCATAGGCGGATACAGATCATTGAGATTGGGGGTACACAAAAAGTATAGTAAATAAGGTTTTTGTTGGTACTGTTTCTAAAAAGGGTGGCAATGGTCTTGTTATGTTACAATTTTCTTATGAGAGAACGACTAAAATTGTATTGGTCATGCATAGGCGGTGTCAGGGCACCTATGTTGGGAGGTAAAAATAACCCCCCTTTTTGGACGCCTGGATCCGCCTATTATAACAAAAACGTGTCAAAAGAGGATGCACAATAACTTTGTATATGCTATCACATGATACCTTTCATTCACTGTTCGTAAAACTGGTGCAGCATCGTGATCTTCGCCCAAATGACTCGCTTCACGAATAGGACTCCCCAATTCCCAGTGCTCTGGAGCCGCCCCTGGTAAAGTTATGAACTTGAAATTTTCAGGGAATGTGCCCAATTTAGTTTTAGGAAAAGTCAGAAAATTTCAGCATCGTAGCTTCAGCGGTTTCGGAGATATTCCCGAAAAACCTGAGGGGTGGATAAAAACAAACCCCCCTGCCACTAATAGGGTTAATTTTTATTGCCCCGTGTTAGTGCTGCGATAATAAACACATACAATTTCACATTAATCTCACATTGGTGTATTTCTTCACATTTATTAAGAACATCTACATTACAAGTATTAGCGTAGCTCTCTGAATCAGACTCACAGAGTGATTGACTCAGCCTGACTCACCCGAGTCACGCGGCGCGCACAGTGAAGAGATTCTAGATATATTCACAAAGGCACTGAGACACACGTCACATCCCGATGGCGAGCCAAGTCCTGTGAGCTGAGACCCGCCTCACCAGCCCAGGAACATAGACACCGGTGAATACAGGTCCGTACGGTAACAAATCCACTGACCCTTAGTCCGTCTGGTAGTCCATTGCTCATCCGGCGAGCCCTGGATAATTCATTGAACCAGCTCAGTAGACAAAGGTCCGTCAGTTTACCACTGGCTTGTCCAACGGGCCCATCCCCACTCGGTGAGCCATCGTCAGGTCCCTGCTGATGATCCCCACAGCTGTCAGTCAGCTCACCATGGACCCCCGGCTCAGTCCGCGCAGCGAGACCTGAGGATCATTCCCGTGGGCCCTTCCCAATTACACTCACATCATGAGATCCACTGTGAGACACGAAAATCGTTCGTGGACACGCAATAAAGACATCTCAATCTAGAACGAAAATATAACTCCAAACTAAACAACCTAAGCGATGGGCCACACTGTTTAGGACTGTCGCACGCGGTCCTGATCGTCCCCTGCTGAGCCTTATGTCATGGCCCATGGCCCCTGGCCCTGCACATTCTCCCTGACCACCGACTGTTCCTCTTGACCCCCGCGCTCTGAGCGTTCGCAGTCACTCGGACGTAGCGCCCGCCCGTATGCCTCCCTGCCCCAGCGGGGCTGTATTACCGACATCGGCAGCGGCGCCGCGGCCGCTAACACAGTGCTGTAAAACGGGGGGCAGCCGCGGCCGCCCGAACGGCCATGAAAAAGTCTGAGACGTCGTCGGTCGTCGTCGGCGACGGTCCGCCTCCGGGACAGAGGCGGGCGCGTCTGAGTGACCACTCCATCAGACCCGCCGGCCGCCGGAGAGAGAGGAGCGAGACAGCCGGCCCGCCGCCGCCGCGGTCTGCAACATGGCGAGAGAGAGTCACATACATACAGAGCAGGAGGGGAGGGAAGGAGAGAGAGAGAGAGAGAGAGAGAGAGAGAGAGAGAGAGAGAGAGAGAGAGAGAGAGAGAGAGAGAGAGAGAGAGAGAGAGAGAGAGAGAGAGAGAGAGAGAGAGAGAGAGAGAGAGGTAAGAAGAGGGCTAGGAAAAGAGTGATAGGCTGGTTAGATGAATATATGGCCAACTAAATTTGAAAGGCACACCCTAATGCAGACATTACCGAGGAGCCATTCGAGTTGTTTGTCCTAAGTAGCTCCCACAGTCCATAATCGCATAACTCACTGCACAACTTTACGACCTTAATTTACATTGACATTCGGAAATAAATTGAGTTTATTTTGAAACTTCGCCAATCTAATCGGCTAATAGTGACAATCATTCCTTTGTCGGGTCATCCACGGCCTACTTTTGCACGGTTTTTATTCACGGCAATCATCCTCGAGAACAAAGCGAAATAGCTGGCGGAATGAGCTGGCACCGACGCCGCGCGGCGACCCTCTGAGGGTCGGGGGGGGGGGGGCAGTCGCTGGGGAGAGAGTCGGATCCACGGGTCGGTCATATACCTGGCGAAGCTCACCTGGCTCTACAAGCGCCACCAGACCAGGTAGAGCAGCCAGCTGTACGGCAGGCCGTGCCGCCATAGGAGGCAGGCTAATCGACCCGCGTCGCTAGTCGGCAGGCTCCGGGACTCCAGCGCTGGAACACAGGGCATAGGTGGACTTAAAGGCTGAAACACGGCACAGAATAGCTGGACTGCGCTGCAACACATGGACAGGATAGACCGACTCCAGGGCTGCAGCAAATGGATAGAACAGGGGGAGACGAAGAGGGCTAGAACACAAGGCGAAGCAGCTGGACGTCAGGACTGTAACTTAGAAAATGAGTGGACTTAAGAGCTGAAATACAGCAGAATGGCTGGACTCCAGGGCCAGCTAGAGCTTAGTACTGATACACGTCGATAAAACTAGGCAGTAGAGCCTTAAGATCTAGATCAAATAGCTCTATGTACTTCTGAGTTGAGATAAACAGGCAGACAGTTGAACTCTAAACCTGAAAACAACGAACAATCACGGGGAATTGAAGAACTGAGCACTACCTAACTTCAACAGCAGCACACTGAAACTGAAATAGCTGAGTGACAAATGGATAGACGGAGCGCTCTCACGTGGCAGCGACAGAGGATAAAAAGCGGCCAGCTTTGTTCTATTCAGTGGCATCAGCTCGCAGCTCTCAGAAGACAGTGTCTCAACAGCGCCGACGCCCGTGAGACCTATTGTCGCCCTGGAGAGGAGCAGGGCTAAGGCGGCTCGGCGGCCGGCCGAGTCCCATTAGTCCGTCAGCGCGTGCAGCCCGGCTCAGCCCGAGAGGATATCGACAGACCGGCCAGACTCTGAGAGCCTTCTTCGTGTTGTGGATATTGCCAATATAGGAAACACCATCGGCGCAGAGCAGCAAAGAACAAATGCTAACGGGTTGTGCTGAATGGACTTTCGATTAGCCAGCACATGCTTTACACGACTGCGAATGGTGGTAAACGTTCAGTACGTGAATAGAAACGGAAACGACCATTAGCGGAGAAAAACATCATTTACAAGGAATATCTTACGAATAATTCATTTTTTTCACCAACCCAAAGAAAACATATTTGCTGTGGAATGTAGATGATTATAATTGGGTGACTTTTAACTGAATTTTGTTTTCTGTTGTTGTTGCCCATGTTGACAGATGACAAATGTATTGCCCTCTGCCAGCTCTGAAACGGCCTAACAGTGGACGGTCCCTGTTGACTCACCTCTGCCGATGGTGGAGAAGTGGAACGTCTCCGACACCCTCTCCCAAAGGTCAGGGGTCCACAGGCTTAGGGTCCCTGTTAACTCACCTCTGCCGATGGTGGAGAAGTGGAACGTCTCCGACACCCTCTCCCAAAGGTCAGGGGTCCACAGGTTTAGGGTCCCCGTTGACCCACCTCTGCCGATGGTGGAGAAGGGAAACGTCTCCGACACCCTCTCCCAAAGGTCAGGGGTCCACAGGCTTAGGGTCCCTGTTAACTCACCTCTGCCGATAGTGGAGAAGTGAAACGTGTCCGACACCCGGTTCCAGCCGTGCTTGTTCTGCGCCTGGATGCGCAGGTCGTAGGCGGTGGCCGGCGTCAGGTGACGCAGCGTCACTCGCTGCTCAAAGTGGATGTCAGCCACCGGCTGACGGCCCGTGGTGGGCGCCGTCAGGGTGGTCCACGGCCCGGCTCCCTGGCTGGTGGAGTTCACCTATGACACACAGATAACAGACGGTGACACACAGACACACAGACGACGAGCGAATCAGTGTTATCCACGGCCCGGCCCCCTGACTGGTGGAGTTCACCTGTGACACACAGATAACAGACGGTGACACACAGACACACAGACGACGAGCGAATCAGTGTTATCCACGGCCTGGCCCCCTGACTGGTGGAGTTCATCTGTGTACGAGTAACATGTCAGTAGATGCGGTTTAGTTGACCTGACACAAATACGAGGACGGTGACTGCTCAGAGCATTCCTGGTACCAGTATTCCTCTTTTGACACACAGACACACAGATGTGATGGATCAGTCACTGTGGCTGACGTTCCGACCCCTCGAGTTCTCTGATGTGGCACACAGATCTAGGGCTCGAGCGCCTATTAGCCGTTTTCACGACGGGCTATCCGGCGAATGCACCTGATTTGACCATATCTGCACCTAATTTTTACAGCAAATATCCTCATTTTATGAATTTATTTCAGTGTTTTAATCGATGATGCTCTCTGATAATATGACAAAGCAGGCATATAAGCAATTAGTGCAACCCTAGCTGATAGCTGCTAAGAGACACACTGAACCTGATTTGACCAAACAGATCTATACCTTGTTTTCTCTGTGACTATGTCATGCTGATGAAGATTTGATAATCGAAACGCGTCCATGCACTATTTGTTCCGTGTTTTTCTACTTGTCTCTATCAATATACACAGATCTATGTGATTGTCCCTGCTAGTCAGAAGTCACCTGCGACCAGCATATTATTTATGTATAAGATACAGCTGAAATATGAAACGGAAATAAAAGATGAAACAAATACCGAGGAAGCAGGGTAAGTAAAAAAAAAAAAACTAACATAAAGTTAGTGGTAATAATGGGACGGTACGATACGAAATGGTGCTGCGGAACAACAACGGCACGTTGTTGTTATTGCAAGTGACTGAACCTTCTATTTCCTATATATCAAACAATGTCCCTAGCATCTTACAAATGCCTCTACGAGCGCCTATTATCGCCATCGACCATTACACTGGCTCCACTGCCGACGACATGGCACCAGAAAATCACACAGTTTTATCTCGTCTCGGAGGACGTTTTCTACCTTTGCCAATCTGGTCCGACGTCATTTAATTATTCCGCTCAGGTCCGTTCCGGCGGCCCTCCATGGCTCAGAAAAGTCCCAGATCTGACGGCCGAACCGATACCGCGAACCGTCGCTGGAGTCGACGGCCCGTCCCGAGGTCCCACGGCCGCCGCAGACGGCGCAACGGTCTTGGTGTCTAGTGAGTCATGTGAGAGAATAACGCGCATCGCAGGCCTGCTGGGAGAGTGTTCCAGTGAGCTCGATGGTGTAGGAACCCCCGCTGTCATCCCTGGCATAAAAACACGACGTCGTTAATATAATACTGCCGGTGTTAACATCCTCACGAGGATAGCGCGTTACACTCAACGACTTAATCTGGGCTCCATTGTGGACAGCAAACGCTGCCACTAAACGTAGGCCGTTCCTTTCGGAGCAGGCCCGCCGACGTAGCACACTAAGCAGTGGGTTTCCGCCACCGGGTCTAATCCAGGCGAGAGTCGATTGCTTTCACTGCACTTCCCCACTGGAGATAATCATTTAGGCACTCGTAGTCATTACAGCGGAACTAAGAAGACTATTCTTATGTATTAACCCTCGCCCGCACATGGGGGGGGGGGGGGTGGTTGCCACCCCCCCAGGCAGTCTTTCTGCTCTGCACTCAACATTTTTAGAGCTAGAAGGCTGATTTTTCGTATAGCTGCTCGTCTATCCTTTTTTGATGTCCACTGAAAATTTCAAGTTTCTGTGATTTTTGGTTTCGGAGATATGACCTTGTTTTTCAGGTCATGTCATGACCCAAATGGCCAATTCTCAACATCTTGCGTTTGCCATGGGCCTTGTGAGCTTTTGACACCCTGATTTCGGCCTTTTTTGCCAGTCTTACCTCCCACCTATCATGGAACATGTTGTTCGACGATGTACAGGGGTCAAGGTCAGGGTCAAGGTCAACCTAGGTCATCTAAGATAATTGCGCTTTAGGCAAGCTGAATTTACTTTTTGTGAAGTTTTTTGACTGCATTTTTGGTAAAAGCTTCTCAGATCATGATTTCATGTGATATGGACCCAAAAACAATCGGTGCACACATCAGTATACACACAGACACACACAGACATACAAACACATATAATTGACCTTGACCTAACTTGACCTGAAATGACCTCAGCAGCAAAATTCTGGTCGGATAGTGTGACAAAGAGGTTCTAGCTGGCTTGGCACCAGAAAACAGCATCGTCATCGGTATTTGATAAGCAGCGCACTTGATATCCAACGGTGACCCAAAACAGCAACATTTTTTAGTTTGACCTGAGCTGGAAGGTCAATGACTGACCTGAGAAAGTAAAACTAGGTATCATTGGATTCGTCTCTTCCCAAAGAATCTTTTTGGTCTTTACTGCTAAGCTCTATCTCCAACAGGAACGAAATGGCGCGGGGGGGGGGGTGGCAACCCCCCCCCCCCCATGTGCGTTCTAGGATGGGAAAATGGCATGTGCGGACGAGGGTTAAGCCCGGATATATAACGGGGTGTTGACTTTTATGTGATGTCGAGGTAAAAATGTAAAAACATCTCTCAAGCCTATCACGTGTTTGAACACAAAACATTGCAAATGTGATGATATTTGGGGATCTCTTACATAACGTCTACCCAATTTACCTGCATTTCTAAGCAGAGGTATTTCCCAAAGCCGGCATTTCCAAGGATATGATTTATGAATGTCACAGGTGGATGGAAACAGCGCTATTAGCTGAAGGATATCCGTCAAAGTCGTGTGTCGACCAAGAAGACCAATGTGGCCTGTTGCATAACGCATCAGACATATTAAAGACTGAGTTATGAAAGAGAGTGGAGTGGAGATGAAGGGTCAAAATATTTCTTGCCGATGATCCTAACAGGACAAATAACGCAATGCAATTTGCTTAAGCGTTAGATGGTTACACATAGTTATTGCTGAAGCTCTTTCTGTCTGAAACTGACTCGTCAATAACATCGTCTACAATCGACATATTTTCCTGATAAACCATGGATAAACTAACATGACATTTTCCAAAGGTTTGCCTGAGTCTGATTCCCTCATTTAGTTAATGGAAATAGCTGAGGGCGTTACCAACTCTATCCTAACTCTATCTGCTCTGTGAGGGAACTTGTTCAAATGGTACGGCCTAGACGGCTGTGCCAGCGGCTCCATAACGAACTCTGCCGGACACGGAAAGTTCAGGTGACCGTAGCCATGCTCCCATCGGGGTGCGTCAAAGGCTATCAGCTTCGTTGTTTCAAAGCATAACGTTCCAAGGGGGTTATGCGTCTGGGAAGCACAGGTACTGAGTTGGACCTCTTCAAACTCGGATGCGGTTCGCCTTAACTACAGGCCATTCAGTTCCAATTTTGGCAAAAATTATTGGCGATTGGATGATTGCCAACTGGATCATTGGCGAGTGTAGGCTTGCGTAGTGTATACGAGTAATGCTGACAATGAGAAGTGGCCAGATGCCTTAGAAGCTCTATTTATTGAACCCTTCCAGAGTTCTGTTAATTCTCACGACGGCATTAGTCCAGTCGATGTTATACATACGCAGCTGATCGCAGGATTATCCATAATTCTTCTAATAGTTACATATGCCTGTAATTATTCCGAACATTTGTTTTGCCCAGTAATGTAATTTCCGCGAGCCATTCCTCAAAGATACTGAGCAGACAACGGCCTGTCTGGCTCTCATCTCAGTACCGCAGGCACATTTGAAATTCATCTATGATGCATCTACGAGGCTCGAGTACCTACTGGATCCGCAAGGCGCAAACATTACATGGTGCTTCTTCTGCTATCAAAAGCACTCAGCATTATACATTTTGTAAAAGTATCAACGGCGGTACAATAATTACAATATGGATCAGCAGCTGCCGCAAATCAGTGAAGCTGTCTGCGTGACTCCGAATCAGTATTTCTGCCGCGCAGCTCCCAGCCTGGTGGATACTATGTATACTGCTGAATATGTCTTGATGCTTACCACCCGATGCTCTGCTCTATTCGATACTACAGAGACTTCTTCTATTGTCTATGTACAGGGTGATCGAAAAAAAGTGTCACCCCTAATTTAAAAGCCATATAACTCGCGATTTGTTGGTCGTACGACTTTGCGCCAGGCAGCATTGGAAAGAGCATACAATTTCCTTTCGAATGGATGTAAATATGCATGGTTTATGCCGCAAACGAAGATGTAGCTATTCAAAAAGTATGTTAAGGACACAATTTGGCGTGTTCAAAAGTTTGGTTGTGCAAATTTGTACTTTCGACTGAGTTTTTGATCTGACAGCTCACGTGACAGCTCACGTGAGCATTTTTCTTAACTGTTCCATGGTTACCGCTGCATAAAATTGATAATCCGGTAGTGCAGGCTGTCGCAATGTTTCGCTAGTTACCGGCGAATTTGTGAATAATGAGGCCGCATGTTTGCAAGGAAGATCTGATAAGGTCTTCCTTGTCTAAGGTCAGCTGAGAAACGAGCCTAAAGTCAGCTGAGAAACAGTTTGCAGTGAACAACATACACTCCATGTGTAATGTGTAAGGTGTGTGTCATGTTGAGTTACGATACTCATTGTTCTCGTTCAGCGGTGTCCGATCCCGTTCGGTGAATTTCGTTTCACGTGAAAGCCGCACATTGACTGGTTTTTGAGCCCATGGGGACATGATTTGGAATAGAAAACATTCATGAATACATTCAATTGAAAAGAAATTGCCTGCTCTTTCCGATGCTGCCTGGCGCGAAGTCATCCGACCTACCAGTCGCGAGTTATGTAGATTTTAAGTTGGGGGTGACACTTTTTTTCGATCACCCTGTAGTTCTACTAACACCCAGTAACAGTGTTCACCACAAGATAACCGACCGCAGCTCTGCCCTCCGGCGATATCCCACGAGAAATCTGCTCCTTTGTAAAGCCAGTATTGCTATGGCTGTTCACTGACGGGCCATTGGGAAGGAGTGATGCGCGCTGCCGCCGCGCTGCTCGGTATTCCCGAGAACATCCGATAGGGCGGCTGCCGATAGCAGCCGGCGCGATGGAGAGTTCCTATGGCCCCCGCCCGCCGGCCGGTCGGCGTCCCGTCGAGACTGCCTATCGCTCCACCTAATAAACGAGCTCATTTCTCAAACTGGTCACTACGCCTGCCACCATCTGGCCCAAAGTCCATATAAAACTGATGACATTCATTTTTAAATGCTACGCTGTTGTGGCATGATCATTAATAGTCGTCGACAGAAGGCGTCAGGCGACAGTGGCGGACCATCTGCGCGGCCCCGCCCCGCACTCATCATCCGCATCGCCTCCCACTATTCCGCATAATCCATTAAACAAGAAACGAAACCCTTCTGGAAAGAGAATTTAATAGAATCTCACCTTAGTTTTCCGGTACGCTATTTTGTACTCTATGATCGGACTGAAGCTCTTGACCTTCCAGGCGAGGTCGTACGAGTCGACATCACCTCCCATCGGAGCGCTGGTGATCTCCACCTTGTCGGCCTCGCCTGGACAGCAGAGGAAACGTGTCTGTCAGGCGACGGCGGGGGTTGTATGTCGGAGTACGTCGTGGGCTGAGGCCTAGTCGGAGCTCCTCACGCATGTCAGATGATATGAAGGCTGCGTGTCGAAAGCGAACCACAGACGGGTGAGGACTGCGAACTACATAGTACAGTATGAGTGTGTTTAGAAAAGCTGACTGTTGATGTCGTTCCATTGGTTCCGCTGCCGAGCAAGAGACGCAGCTCGACTGCAGGGTACGTAATTATATTCGCGATACAACCAGTCCCCTGATTCGTATGCTAATGCCAAGTTACATCCAATAACAGACCCTAGTTTCACAAAATAATTATTATGATGAGCAAACGACATCATTCGTTACCATGTCAACATTATTCGAGAAAATGTTGACATTAGCGGCTCTCAAAGGGCTGAAAATTCTGTGATGTAAAGAATCATCTATTCGTTTGATTAAAGTCACTACCCGGAAGGCTGGTCCGCGGCTCTCTGGAGACGAACTCTGCCGTCGAAGCACCTCCGGGGAGCCGATATACGCCATTATACGTCAGTGATCAGACTGCCGAAACGCGCCAGCTGCGAGAATGACTTGAGAGCAACATAAAATTGGCCGGCCCTAATGACCAATATTTCACTCTTGTTAAAGTAATCATGACGCATTACATCGTAAACTTTTACGAGCGGACGCATTGCAGCCGTTAGGAGTTATTGAGATACACGACTGGTGGTTGAATACAGACCAGACTGCTACCGGTAGTGCGGTGCGGCTATTTACTTAGCGGATATTTACATAAACAAGGCGACATAAGCGGGCAGAATAGCACTCTCGGTTTCACAACTAACAGGCTGAGTGATTAATCTTACGCAGCTATGTGAACAGCTAAGCCCTTGTCATCACTTAAGAAAAAGGACCCCACCATACCAATAGTGGCAAGGGTCTAAGGGGGGCCGCAATAGGCCATTAGGACACGGAAGTTCCACACCAGCTCCCTATGGTAAGGCGGCTTCTTCCGACCACCGTTGGAGATGGGACCACACAGGGCCACTCATCTTCTTTCATTGCTAGAGGGTTAGTAGGTACACGGAAGTTCGGCACTTCTGTAACTACGCATTGGTGCGCCATTTTACCGAGATAACGACACACCACCGATACCTACATTCCAAGTTATCATGAACATCAAAGCATAGGCGGCGGAACGGAGAGAGCACCGGGGCACCGTGCCCCCCTTTGATTTTGTCATTTTAACATGAGCCCTATGGGCGTTGCATGGAAAGAATGGGACCAAACCCCCTCCCTTTATTGAAGGCGTTCCGCCCCTACTGCATCAAATGCAATATACGTTTCTGTAGTTCTTTTTCAAATGAAAGAAGGCAAAAACATGAATGAGTCGAATATGTTTCTGCCGCATTATATGTAAGAAAATGCACGGGGTGCGTACTGAAGAAGCCCGATCAGTTTCGTTGTAAAATCCATGTTAAAACGTACCTGATACGTAAATCTTCCCGTGAGAAGACCCCAGCTGGTTGGTAGCATTACAAGTGTACGTGTCAAAGTCGTCCAACGTCACTTCCTCGATGGTGAGGACGTGCCGTGACGACATAATGACGTCATTTGTCTGACTGATGCGATCAAAATCAATGGGACTGCCGCTTCTAGTCCATGTAACCTGAAACAGAAAGGATTTCACGGAGAAAACGTTTGTAATTAAAGTCAAGTACATGCACGCCAGGATGCATTGCACACTGCATACGGATTCTCCCTTGGCCATCCGTAGTAAATCTGTCTGCCACACACGTTTACTTAGCTAAATTGTTTAATTGGCTTTGCAGATAAATTGCTTCTTCCAATCTCACCTTCCTTCTGCCCATCTCTATCTCTTTCTCAAATCTCATTCTATCCAACCACCACTTTCACAAGCTCTCTCTTCCCTTTATTTCCCGTCCTCCGTCTATCTGTAATTCCCTCCCTCTCTCACTCCCACTCCCACCCTCTCTGTCCCCTGTCCTCTCTCCTCTCTGGCCGCCATCCGCCGCTCGGTCAGACCAACTGTTCGTCATCGATCGTCCCACACGACGTCACCGCTGCAGTGTCCCCGTAGAGCCGCCGGACATTGCCACATTTCTAACTTTGCCGTATACAGCCTGCTGCCGCCAACTTTGGCCGCAACACCAGCCCGCTCGGGTTTGATGATCATAACATTTTGTGTAACTAAATGGTATGAAAACAAAACAAGACGGCTAAGGAAATTCAAAGGCAAGTTTCTAATTCGTATTTCAATGTCACTGGAAACAATTTAAACGCAATGCTGACAAAATGAAACGCAAATGAAAAGCTAGATAAGCATAACGCATTTTCTAGAACATTTTTAAGACGAACAGATCTACAATGCCACTGATTTCCTGTCGGCTCCAAAAATCGTTGAGACGGCAATGGCGCTGGGTCTGTTGGCTGGCCCATCATGTTCTGATTTTTTACGAGCTTGTGGATTTATTGCTATGCTTAAGATCTTGTAATGAGTAGCTTTTAGTAAAAACGGCTAGGTGGCCCAGATAGCCTCCGCTCAAATAAATTATCCTAGATATTATATAGGTACGTAGCTCAAAGCTGAAATAAGTTTATGTACCTAATTAATTAGTTGTACTTTTTACATGTCACGTGAAGAAACATAATGCACAATCAGCAGCATACACATTGTCTTATGGCATACAGCATTGTCTTATGGCGTGCTGTGACTCAAGCTCGACTTCTAAAACACATTTGCTTTTAAAACGTTTATACCCAACTTTACCTGAACAGCAACAACTTGACATTGAGTCAACATCACAGCTAGCTGAATTGAGAGGACTCTGCAAGGTAAAACAAACATTAGTTGATAAAACTTAGAGCGAGTTATTCAACAATCCACTTAGCCTTGAAATAGCCGATGCTCAGTCTATACGGGCTCCGCACCAGGGGGACGGTTCAAGGGCCCCTTCCCGGCGATGGGAGCTGCCCAAGTGCCATCGACGTGCTGCTCGCCTGTCCTTAGGACAACCGTCTGTCTACTGAGCAGTTTCACGGTAGCCAGGCGGTAGATGGTCTCAATTAGTCGGTCTACTGCACCGCCTCACGGTAGAAAGATGGTAGGAAGTCTCACCTGAGCGGTCTACCCCGCCCGTCGTTACACAGTAGGCCGACGGTAAATGGTATCACCTCAGCGGTCTACCGCGGCTTCTGACGATAGACATACCGTAGTTGGTCTCATCTCAGTGATCTACCACAGGTAGACCAACGGTAGAAAGTCTCACCTCAGCGGGAGGGTCGGCGTGCACCAAGCAGACCAGCTGAGCGGTGAAGCCCTCCCCCGTGAAGATGGTACTCCGCTCCACTTCAACCTCAGGCGGGTCTGAGAAACGATATGGGAGAGAGAGAGAGAGAGAGAGAGAGAGAGAGAGAGAGAGAGAGAGAGAGAGAGAGAGAGAGAGAGAGAGAGAGGGAGAGAGAGAGAGAGAGAGAGAGAATGAGCAAGTGAGTGAGTGAGTTAGTGAGTGAGTGAGTGAGTGAGTGAGTGAGAGAGACAGCGAGAGCGAGAGAGAGAGAGAGAGAGAGAGAGAGAGAGAGAGAGAGAGAGAGAGAGAGAGAGAGAGAGAGAGAGAGAGAGAGAGAGAGAGAGAGAGAGAGAGAGAGAGAGAAAGAGAAAGAAAGATAGGGAGAGAAAGAGAGGGTAAGCATAACTTTTAAACTGTTGCCACAGGTCTGGCAGCTGGATAAGGAACTTGGCAATAAACTCGGTGCAGAAAATGTTCTAGTGGAAATGTATGCAACACTGTCGTAGCTTAAAATCATACCATACTGCCATCACTCTGTCTTACACCCCGTAGCGGAGTGTCCAACTGAAACTGTCAAGCTGAAACACCTGTCAAATACGGCTGTCATATTCTCCAGCCACATATTGCCATCCCCTTCCCTCCCCTCCCCCGCACATGCCTCTCCCACCCCATACATCCTGTCGTGAAGTGCCGGCGTCTCATACTGCCTCCTGCGCCGTCCCCGAGTTTATTACACGCCTTTCAGCCTCCTCCGAGCGGGCGGCATTCCGTCGGAGTCCCGCAGAGCCGCGAGAGCCTCGCCGAGAGCCGACACCAGGCTCTACCCCATTATCCGAGTTGTCGGCCACAAGTCCGACCATTGTTGGGGCATGAGCGCCGTCGCCGGAATGGTGTTCGACTTGCCACTGAGGCGCCCAGATCAATGTGGAGACAGAGTCGCAGGTTCTTCCCCCATGTCTGATCAGTTCGGCATGATACGTGGGGAGAGACCGCCTTTTTTGTTGGACAAGTCCCTCAATTAGTGGGACATATGTATCTACTTGTCCTGCACTTACATTGGTTCTCCCTCACTAGGATCAATCCCGCCTCCCCGTTGGAACAGTCTTTACAACTGTAAGGTAATGTAAGGTAACACTGGAAAGTATACAGCCTCTTTCTCAGTGGGAAGTGGGAACAGCCTTTTCATTTTGACCAGCTCTTATTAAAATTGGACCAGCCCCTCGCTCAGTATTTTCCTTTCACTTTTAGGTCAGCTTCTTACACGGGATCCTCAACCTGCTGAATACGTGTCACATTTTTAAGGAAACACGATCGTCAGGATGGATCTACTAAAACACTAACACTTACAAAGGGCATGCAAACTCAATGAAGAGCGCAGAGATGAGACTGTGTAATGAGCGCAGGTACACTTACAGAGGACCTGCAGAGTGAGCAGAACAGACGCCGAGTCGCCCACTGGATTGTCTGCGTAACACTCGATGGTGCCGGCGTCGGAGCGAGTGACGCTCTCCAGCGAGAGCACTTCGCCACCGACCAGGTCCACCACTGCGGAACTACCGTCCACCTGGGGGGGGGGGGGAGGGACAGTGGTCAGTGGGCTGTGGGCTGTGGTCCGACTAGGTCCACCACTGCGGAACTGCCGTCCACCTGGGGGGGGGGGGGGGGGGTGAGGGAGGGACAGTGGTCAGTGGGCTGTGGTCCGACCAAGTCCACCACGGCGGCACTGCCGTCCACCTGGGGGAGGGGCAGTAGTCACTGGTTGGGGATCAGGGGTCAATGGACACTGGTAAGGGGGCGGTGGTTAGGGGTCAGTGGTCGGTATTCAGTTGTCAGTGGACAGAAGCAGCAGTTAGCTGTCGGTAAGCAACTATTATCTCCTGCATTTTAGCTGTCATATAATGCATAACAGAAGTACATAAATAAGTGTCATCTGCTGCATATCATCATTATTGACATTCGTTATTGAGCGAATGTCCACACATGAAGTTTATTGCATATCATCTGTTATTGGCTGTTATCTTTCTCCTGCATACATATGCGCCATTGGACAAATAGTGTCTCCCAGAAGTCATCTGTCGTTTGTCATGATACATACGTCCTCTCAAAGCCTTCACATTCCATCTACCTGTCTCCAGGCAATGGCACTGCGATCATGCTTTTACTGCAATGAAAGTAAATAGCACTCATCTTCCGCCTATCAACTGTCGCCTTTCTGTGACGAACAGACGACGACACCTCTGCGTTTTCAACTTCTCGCCTTCGTTAGCGTAACGCACTTTTAATCCGCCGACTCGACCTAGTCGCACTGACGGCATCAAAGTTCAACAGAGCCTCGGTAATCACCGCAAACTTTGTTAGGTAATCAAAACTATCAAGAAGAGATAATTGATGCATCTAATGTCATTACACTCAGTGCGGAAGCCAGTGTCCCCCAGACGGAACAATTTGCAGTAGAATGGGGCTGTTTCAGGCCCAGGCGTTTCAGCCAATGTTTCTATGAAATGCCAGCACACAGCGTTCCGTCCCTCGTCAGCAAAATATATCCATAAAATGCGGGAATTATCTAATATAAAATAAAAGAAATACGATTACATTCGATATTGAAGAGAAGCCCTGGTAACCTTGACGATTTCATGTTTTACCGACAATATAACAACTCTTGTCTCTTAACCCGCGCCCTGCTGGGGGGGGGGGGTGTTTGAACACCCCCCCTTGTGGTTTTTTGCGAATATCTCAAAAACGGCGGCGCTCAGCGCCGCCGTTTTTGGTACACCTTATCATACATCAATTCTACACATGTTGTGAAAATTTCAGACCAAGGACATTCAAGGTCAGGTCACCAGGTCACTTGAAGTGACCTCACCTGATAAAAAGTTTCAATGTCTGCCATAGCTACACCGAGTGACCGATGGCTTTGAAACTTTCAGCGATTAATAAGGGTAACAGTATCTATCAAATGTATATCTTGGAATTTTGATATCGGTGACCTAAGGTCAGGTCAATTTTGCGACCTCCCCATTATAAGTCAATGGGAGAAAATTGAAATGCGCCTCTTTTGGACGAAAGACATTATAAACACTCCCAAACACTGAATTACAAGTGGTTTAGACACACTGAACATGAAAATAGTGTCCGTGACCCCTGTTTATGCCCTGAGGTCATCTTAGGTCACGAATGGTATCTAACAGTTTTTCGCAAATAACTTTTGATAGAGGCATGCTAGAGCGATGAAAACGCCTTTGATGTGTTCAGCTCGACGATACGGATCGACTGATATGCAACATGACCCTTTCCGGTCAGGTCATGACCTTGACCTGAGGTCAAATTTTCAAGTTGACCTTTCAAGGTCAAGTTATAGTTCATTCGATGCGTCTTGACGAGAGGAACACGATGCCGGTAAAAGTAAGCTCGTACAAGGCTTGGGTCAAAAGTTATTGCATAAAAACTGTTTCCGAAAAAATCGGCTATTTTTGCAGTTTTTGCCCCCTGCAGGCAAAACCGTTGACGATAGGTCAAATCTGAGAGAATTATTCAGAAAGGGCGTTAATAGGGCTATCGAATGCGTTTTTCCGCGGGGCTGTAGCTCTATTGGTTCCCGAGTAATGCGTTGGCTTCCTGGAAATTGTCGACATTCGACCTGAAAATCGGCGAAATTTTGCCTTCAATGACCTCTGGTGACCTGACCTTTGACCTGACCAAAAAAGTGACCGAAGTGATTTCGTCATTATTTTTGGCGCTCTTTCGAACGCCGCCTTCCGCGTTTCGCTACGTGGCCCAGGAGCCGAGTTAGAAGGGGGGGTGTTCAAACACCCCCCCCAGCAGGGCGTGGAAATCCAGGACCCCCAGCCGGGCGCGGGTTAAATCCACCATCTGAACGAGCACACATCCTTCCAGTGCCTTCGAGTGATCCCTTCCCAAATGCAGACATTTGCTGAAGTGAAGAAATCGCATCCACATTTCCTTCTCAGCAAGAGTCTGTCAATCACCCGTGGAAGATGAGTTTTCTGGATTCATGGCAGAGTGCGCTGCTGCCAGCGCTTGGTGATGGTCCGCTATAGTTTATGCTGAACTGGAAATTAACGACTTGTGATTGGGTCGTTTTCAGCCGGCTGGCAGCGAGGCAGTGAACCGACTCGGAGGCAGTGAGGCAGCTGGCTCGGCCGGACGTCAGTGAGGCAGTGCGGGCGGCAGTTCGACCGACAGTGAGACATGGAGACACTGAGACAGCGCGGCAGCTCGGCAGTTTTGCCGTCCGCGAGGCAGTCGGACCATCAGGCCGTCAGACAGCCGGGCAGTCGGGGCGGCTCGGGCAGCGGCCCGGCCGTGCCGAGGGCGCCATCATCATCCGCCCACGGACGCCGCCAGATAGCCATCGTCAAATGGAGCGGCCACAGGCGGATCGGCACTGACGACGGCCAGCGCTCAGACGCCAGAGCCGCAGCTAACTCACTCAGAAAGGAATCGGACCGATTCGGACCGACTGCCGACGATCTGATTCATCCTCAAATAGAACCGACTTGGCACAGAGCCACATGGGTGACAGGGGGGGGGGGTGTTTGAACAGAGTGCGCGCCGGGTTGAGCGCTATACAGGCGAACCCCGGCCGCTCCGCGGTTTTTTAGCATTTGAGCGGGAAAAATTTCGGTGTGATTGGAATCATGTGTTCTCAGTGTTCTACTACTTGCCCTGCATCTGCATTGACGTCACCAGACCTGTGAGTGAACTGATCTGGATATTATTCATTGCTTAAAATTTTTGGTACCCGTCACCCGTGCTGCTGTCGTGAAGCCACCAGAAAATTCATCGTAGAGACGCAATCATTGTCAGTTGAAGATTGATGCATTTTTGAAAGACGCATCCAACGGTGTTATTTTTATGCGTCTATCTGCTCTCGCTTGCAAGAAAATCGCCAATATCTGCAGGACTATTTCCTTTCCGACGCGGATGCTTTCAACGACTTCTCCGCCCTCTGCCAACCGTCCTCGGTTGTCATGGCGACCAACCCCTACCGGGACCGGCCGGCGCCTGGGACGCCGGTAGCCGGCTAAACGAACAATGCCGGCCGACCCTTCCCCCCTGCCCCGGCGGCCCGCTCGGCGCGGCCGCCGCGCGGGTTGGCGCGCTCGGCGTGCGAGGGGACATGGGAGCAGCGGACAGCTGACTGCTCCCGGCACTGGGGCCCCGAACGGGTCTCGCCGTGTAGAGTGCCAAACACCGGCCAGCGACCACCGACGGGACGATCACACTGCTGAATCTGCCAGACGTGCATACGACCGGGCACATCTGATGGCGGTGCGTGACCGACTAAGCAACAACACCACTCGTGAAGTAGCCGAGACTATCCGGCGCAGTCTTCCCGCGTATCTCATCCGCTGTCTTAATCGATCACGCCCCCTCAGCCCTGCGGAAGCGGCATGTGGACCCCGCCCCGCATCGAGGACTCTCTAGTCCAGCCGGCCGACCGACCCGCCCAAATTGCTGATCGGCGCCCTAAATATTCAAAGTATCAAACCCAAACTTCAAGAGCTGACCTGCGAACTCGCTCGTCGCAACTACGACGTAATGGTGCTTTCCGAGACCTGGCTACGTCCGTCTACCCCGAAACGCCTCCTGGTCATTCCGGGCTACTCGCTCAGTCGTGTGGACCGCCCAGATGGCAGCGGTTATGGCGGCGTAGCCATCATCACTAAAAACAGTTTGACGTCAATGACACTGAAGATCCCCGGCAGCGGGAGCTCCGAAAGCAAGCTGGAGTCGCAGTGGGCGCTGCTGAAGCTGGACAAGGGCCAACAGATAATCATCTGCTCCCTTTATCGGCCACCCCGACACTCTGAGGCTGCCCTGCTCGCCGACTTCACGGACCTCGAGGCCCAGCTGCAGCGGGTCCTCATCGATTACCCCAGAGTTCCGTTCGTTCTCTGCGGGGACCTCAACTGTGACCTATTGAAGGGGCCGAGTTTCCGCGCGTCTCAACATCTGATCAGCTTCTTATCGAATTATTCTTTAGATCAACTAGTAACAAATCCAACTTTTACCTCCGGCTCTCTATTGGATGTATGTATTGTTAACAAACGCGAACTTGTGTGTGACACCAGCGTTAATTATTGTCACTTCAGTCCCCATAAAATCATCGACGTGATTATCAATGTGCCGAAAGTGCGTCAAAAGCCCGCCGTTATCTCATCTCGCTCTTTTAAGCGCCTAAATCATCCTGCACTGTATCACGACTTACTCGATGTCGACTGGGATTATGTTTTCTCTGCCGAAACTGTCAGTGACAAGTGGCATGCTTTCTTGTCGTTCTTCGTACCTGTTTTTGATGCCCATGCCCCAATCAAGCGTGTGTCTATCCGTAACCCGACCGCTCCTCCCGTCTCCGCCGCCACCCGTAACCTCATGTCTCAACGTCGCGCTGCGCTTCGCCATCTAGGCCGCAACTCGAGCGAATACAGAGACCTAAACCGCTCAGTCCGGGCGGCAGTGCGTCGAGACAGGCGAATAGAGATACGGAGGGAAATTGGGGAGCGGGGCCCCAACAAAGTTTGGCAGTGCATCAGGTCAGTGGTAGCCGCGAAGAAGGACGGCCCAGACGTCCAGCCCGATCTATCTGCCGATGATTTAAATTCATTTTTTGTATCTGTCGGTCCTCGTGTCGCTGACGAGATCCGAGCCCAAAACACTCCCACCGATTTGGATGTGCGTCTCACCCGTGTCGGCGCATGCAGTTTTCAACTTCGTGAGATAACACTGGGGGAGCTCGAGCGGATTATTTTCAGCATGCGTAACTCGAGTGCCTGCGGCTCCGATAACGTCTGTGTCCGCATGCTGAAATTCGGATTCCCCGCTATTGGTGGTGTCATCCTGCATATTATCAATACCTGCTTAATCCAATCTGACAACCCCGATTCATGGAAACATTCCATAGTTCACCCTCTGTTCAAGTCTGGTAACCCTTCAGACCCCGCAAACTTCCGACCCATTTCCCTAGTTCCTGTAATCATGAAAGTAGTTGAACGCATTGTCCATCAGCAGCTCTACGCCTACCTCTCCCATAATCACCTTCTGGCATCCTCCCAGCACGGCTTCCGCCCCCGGCACTCCACGGAAACCGCGTTGCTGTCTGTCACTGAACACATCCTGGCCGCCACTGATAGGGGGGATTTGTCAATGCTATGCCTTCTCGATCTCAGTAAATGTTTCGACGTGATTGACCACGATCTTCTGATGCAAAAACTGATGTTACACGGCATTGAAATTTCCTGGTTCGCCGCCTATCTACATGGACACACTCAGAGCGTGTCTTTGAAAGATGTATCCGGACGTAGAGTGCTGTCTAGGCCTCTTTCTAATGCCATGGGTGTCTTCCAGGGCTCTGCGTTAGGGCCGCTTCTTTTCACCATTTTCTCTAACAACTTATCGCTATACGCGGGCGACGCAAAAGTGTTTCAGTATGCCGATGACACTCAAGTATTGGTTAGCGGTCCAGCTCGGGACCTCGAAGTTCTCATCTCGCGCATGGAGGACTCGCTCGCGTCTCTCAACGACTGGTTTTGCGCTAACGCCCTCAAAGTGAACGCAAGTAAAACACAGCTTATTGTATTTGGCACTCGTCAAAATCTTCGTAAATTACCAGACTTTAGAGTACCATTCCGCAACGCAGCGTTGCAACCGTGCGCACAAGTCGGAAACCTTGGCGTCACTTTTGACAGCACTATGTCATGGGACGCACACGTCTCTGAACTCTGCCGCCGGTGTACGGGACTGTTGATTGGTCTTTCACATGCGCGCCACTGTCTCCCAGATGGCATCATTCGAACGCTCGTGACGGCACTCGTTGTATCGCGTATCCAGTACTGCCTTTCAGTTTATGGTAATGGGTCCCAAAAAAATTTCGATCGACTCCAAAAAATTCTTAACTTCGCCGCTAGAGTTATTTTCGGCCGCCGTAAATTTGACCATGTCTCCGACCTGCGAACAAAACTCGGGTGGTTGTCCCCGCGCGGTATGTCCGATTTCCACACCCTTGTCATCGCACACAAGGTCATACAGCGCCGTGAACCTGAGCAACTAGCAGCCCTATTCGTCGCTAATAGCGCTATCCGCGAGAGACCATCCAGGCAAGATCACTTCTTCCATCTTCCCCGTCCACGGCTGGAAACGGGCAAGCGGCGGTTTGGCTATCGAGCTGCAGCTCTGCTGAACAGCCTGCCACCTCACCTGTCGCAGCTGCCTCCCGCCCGCTTCGCCCGCGCTGTTAAAGCCGCAATCGTGGACGATGAATCAGCACATCGTCGCTGACCAATAGGATAGGGGTGGGTAAAAGCGATGAGGCTGTCCTGAGAGTGTTTTGTCCTTGTTTTGACGTGAGTGAATGTGCAACTGTTTTGAATGATTAGATTAGCAACCGCGGATACGGATTCTGAGCAGTAATCGCCACGCACTTTGTATGTGGATCGCTCTTAAATGTAAATACAAATACAATACAATACAGACAGCCAGTGGAGGTGTCGCCCTGATCCATCCGGTAAAGTATTTCGTATAGTATCTCTCGCTCCGCTCGAGTCTCTCAGCATCATGTCGGGCTTCCGATAATGGTATCAGGCTGTTAAAAACTCATATTGCTCTGCAGAGTCACGTTATTGCACTACTTATTGTCGTTTATTTATAGCAAGCAGAGCGATTTAATGTCAGCACGACCCCGGACAACATAATATCAATCTCGCCGTGTTGCTATACCATTTTGGAGTGAAGACAATCACTTAAGTGCAGCATGGTCTGTTGTCTACCTCCCTATAATGGTTCTTGTCTACCTCCCTATAATGGTTCTTGCTTTATACGACGTTCAATACCAGAATTTCCGCGGTATAGCGCCGCAGTTCTCCGTCAAACATCAGATTGGCAGCACAAAAAGCCTTTTGCAGCACAATTTGTCGACCCTAGGGACGACGGTGCTCCCGCTTCCTTCCCAAAGGCCGCCGCCATAGTCACATATGCGGTCGCGCCGAGGCAATCTCAATTTGTCGTGTTCCGGCTAGCGGAGGCCGCAGTTCCGGGACATGGGCCGATGCCCAGCCCGCGGGACGGCCGGGAGACTGCGCCCGGGGGACACCCTGTCCGCCAGAAGGATCTGTTCAAAGCCGATCAGAGGCGCGCTCTGCCGCGGAGGCGGCGGCGGCGGCGACCATCCCCGATAGACCAGTCGTTATGGACTCTAGTTCTCCGGTTAGAGACCAGGCAAGCCTGCCGCAAAGCCGCGCCAGAAAGGTTAGACCCGATCAGAGGGGCGTAATTCTTCCGTGGTGACAGCCCAACTCGTTACTTCATGGTGTAACTACCCGGCAGGGATGGTACTGTGTCGGTTGGGGACATTTCCTACCCGCAGGCCTGGTTTCCCGAACTACACATCGCTTTAGTCACGATGGGGACTGCTTGAGTGGCATTACACAACAACAGCTGGTGACCGTTGAAAGTTGCAACGTAATTAGTGGAAGTAATGCAACCCAATGACCTGACATGCAACCTAATTAGCGAGACTAATTTGCGCAACATCACTTTGTCATCTAGCAATGTTCGCTGAATTGCGAATCGTACTGATCAACGATCATACACTTTACAGCAGCCCGCGAGTTTTTCTTTGATGAACTAATGCGTTTAACCTTGCCTATATGATCGATTCTCGGCTGCCACAATTATTCCTAGAAACGATTTTGGGCATTTCTTTTAGCCAGCGCCGAGGCAGAGCTGGAAAAATCCCATGTTATTCCGCGATCTGAGGCACGCAGGCCGTTTACCTTAGGGCCGCCTTATAGGGGGCCGCCATTTGAATGGAAACATTGCTTAGTTAAAAAATTGCACGCATTTTCCCACACTGTGCTCATAAGGTCATCCATGTCATGGAAGGTTGCGAGCGTTTCTCAGTAGGTAATCATTTTTGATACAAGCGAGTGTAAGATCGATGACGAGCTTTGGATATGTATTATTCAAGGTTAAACAATTCAGATCCGAGATCGACTAACAAAAGCAACAAAATTTATCAAATCAGCCAACTACTAGGCACATAGTTTACGTTACTTGAACAAAGTTCTAAGGCTAACATTTTAAAGGCAGCTCGTATCGTGTGAACTAACTCACACGAGGTTACCGTTCTGCGTTGAAACGGCATAGTTTCATCTCTCTGCCGGAGACGACACCCACCTTTTTTCTCCACTTGACGCGCGGTTTGGGGTTTCCGGTGGCGTGGCACTCGAGCGTGGCGTTCTGGCCCTGTTCGGCGATCACCAGACCGCTCTCGGGCACGGTGTGCAGAGTAGGACCATCTGCGGCGCAATATACCGGCCCGTTAGACACAGAGGTCACGACATCACGCCAAAGGTTACGGCACACCGCGCAGATCGGACGTAGCGCACCGCACGGCAGTGCTGCTCACCGCACACACTGCGCTGTCTAAACATAACACACAATACAAGCCATCTATGTATACCCGAAATTGCGCTATTTTTTTTAGTATATTTGAAAATTAGCAGGATGTGTAACTTCTACGTTGCTCTAGGCTCCAGTGAAGAAGCAGTGGAAATTGGAATATTGTATGATACGGAACACATAATGCACTCGTTTACTGCTCTACTGGCTTTATTGTATGCTCATTGTATACGCATAAGATATATTACATGGCTGTGCTCTCACCGCTTATACTGCTCTGACAACATGATCTATCCACATCCCACATCCCTCAATCCATGGCCCACAAACGTTCAATCCGCCACCCGCCCGTGTTATACGGAGTGGGTAGACTGTGCCGCTTGACACCTCAGTCTAGCGGCACAGTCTACCGGTACCAGGCGGCTGCTGCCAGTGCTGAGCCGCGTTGCTAAGAGAACTTGCGCGGTGGAAAGGGTCCCGGTAAATACATATTTGATTCTATACCTGACTGTAAGGGACACAAAACGTAATCGCATGCTAGGTACTCTACGTAATAACAATTCCTGTCACTGAGCGAGGAATATATCACATGCTACAACACGGTGCCAGGCTTCATACTTACAATGCACGTCAAGTGTCTGCGTCTGTTCTAAATCCCGGTCGTTGAGCGCTACGGTGCACGTATACACGCCAGCATCCGAGGGTGTGGCCCGGCTGATCTGCAGGTTAAATCCGTCTACCAGACGAAGTCGACTCCTCTCCTGCTCCGCAAACACCTGGCTCTTCACGGTCAGAATCTGACGCTGCTTCTTCCACATGACCATTCGTGCTCCTGCCGGAGGAAGCGCACAGAGTCGTCAAGTTTTAACATCTGAAGTCCCATGCTGGAATAGTCCGTCCATCACCACTGCTCGTAGGCTTTGTCACTTCTGAGCTTTTTGAGATCTGGTTCTAGCCTGCGCTCAATGGAGGGCGTTGATTGATTCTTGTGACGATGACCCGCAACCAATGATAAATGTTCGCGATAAATGTCGGGTGAGGTTAGTTTTCTGACCCACTGTCGCTGGTCGTGGCTTACTAGGTTCGATTTTAATTATGCTGTGCATGAATTGCATTTACGGATTTAACCAACGGACTGCCGAGACCAGGACCTGCGCAACAAGCTCTGCCGAGCCTGTGTTTTGATCTCGGAAATCCACCCACTCCAACCATTCGAACTGAAATTATTCGCGCTGTCTGAGCACCATCGTTATTGGTTATGAGCTAGTTCCGAGGAGTGGAACAGATGCCGATGCTGATATGGTTCGATTGCTGTCTCATTTACTGTTTTGCTGTGGTGCCGTTACCACCAGCGTAAGAATGCAGTTGTGAGAACCGGAGGGATGTGTAAGTACCGATCACCTGTTGGAGGGCGGTATTGGAGGGCAGTGTCGGAGTACGGGGTCGGAGGGTCCTATCAGAGGGCCGGGTCGGAGGGCCGTGTCGGAGGGCCGTGTCGGAGGGCCGGGTCGGAGGGCCGGGTCGGAGGGCCGTGTCGGAGGGCCGGGTCGGAGGGCCGTGTCGGAGGGCCCTATCAGAGGGCCGGGTCGGAGGGCCCTATCAGAGGGCCGTGTCGGAGGGCCGGGTCGGAGGGCCGGGTCGGAGGGCCGTATGGGTGAGCCGTATCGAAGGGCCTCGTCAGAGGGCCGGGTCGGAGGGCCAGGTCGGAGGGCCGTATGGGTGAGCCGTGTCGGAGGGCCGTATGGGTGAGCCGTGTCGGAGGGCCGGGTCGGAGGGCCGGGTCGGAGGGCCCTATCAGAGGGCCGTGTCGGAGGGCCGTATGGGTGAGCCGTGTCGGAGGGCCTCGTCAGAGGGATGTCGGAGAGTGTCGGTCCGTGACCGCGGGACAGACAGCCGGCGGTCGGCTGCTCTCCTGTCGGCTGACATGTAAATGTGAACGGTGACGGCGCCGTCGGACTGACGATCAATAGCGCTCACCCGACCGGGCAACTTATGCCAGCGCGGCGCGGCCGCGGGAGCCGCACTGCTGAGGTGTGAGAGGAGGCCGGCAGGAATTTTAAACGGATCGTCCCGCAACTGATGGATGGGAACCTTGACGGCCAAGTTACGGCCGGAGAACGGGCCATTAAATCCGGGAGATATATCAATGATACCGTCCATCAATCGGTGACAAAGCTGAAAGGATGCTAGAACAACTCTCCAGACACTTTTTTCTAATTTATGTGCTGTTGTAAATCGTTCAGCAGCTTTCCAATAGACCCATGAAAAACATGGCAGTTCAAGCGTACGTCCTTTCGCTCATTCTTTTTTTTTAAAGCTGGTGCGGTCACGGCACGACGACGAAATATGAGTTCATTCACATCAACGGTCATTTTGGGATTGAGATAATCTAAAATCAACGACCGAGGCGGGAAAGTCGTCTCAACGCGAACATTGACCTGGTGGACGGAAATATGCATTTTGAATTCGATTTTCGACGCACCGTCCAATAAAAGGCATATCCATGTGTTAATGGCGCCCGCGGTCCGCATTGAATCCCTCACCCTTCCTTTGATGCCACACGTCAGCAGCTCTAGCTGAGTCGGACTTGCACCTCTAGCTGAGTCGGGCGAGTGCCGATGTGGCAGCTGGCCGCGGTCACGTGACCGAGCGTGACCCTTGTGCAGGCCGAGTAGAGGGCGTTGTTTTGTGCCCAGTGTGCTGAGGGGCGGACGTGTGAGCTGGAGCTGCGCGAACTGTAAGTGGATTTTGTATTTGAATTATACTTTGTTCTTTCTTGATATTGCTATAAACATGCTGATCGATTCATTAACGTAATATAGCTGGTTGTTCGAGTTTGATTTATGTATACGTGTTTACTTTCGCTAGGCAGAGTGAGCACCGCGGAGTCGGGCTGCTCGTGAGTCCGGGGATGTTTGGCGGCCGAGCTGTGGCTGTGGGTTCCCCCGTGACTGACCGTGTGGACGGAGCGATCTTCGTGACAAGATCGACTCGTTGAGCGCCGGAGACGTGAACAGCCGGTATGTTTAACGTTGTGTCTGAATTACTGTACGAAGTTGCCCGAATTGTTAAGTGTTAATTAATCGAGTAAATGATAGCGCTAATAGTAATTTTGGTTATAGAATTGCAGCAATATTTATTTCATGTAATGTTCAATGCACGGCTCACAATATGTCGTTTTGTTCGGACATGTCGGTTGTGGACGTGATTGTGTACTGACCGGTGCATTGTCTGTGTGTTTGTGTCCGGGCAGTAACGGACAGTTTCGGACTGCCTCGAGAGCTGCAGACGAATAGAGGTCCAGTTGACGGCACAGCGTGTTTGACTACGAGGGCGCTCGGTTTGGCCCACGGCTGAGGCCGTGGCGGCTACAGTTACGGCTGAGTCTTCATCGGCCACGCCCGTCTGCGTCCGTCGGCTTCTCTGCTGCGCTGCGGTTGAGGACGCCAGCCCGCGGCCGAGTGAGACTGATCTCCGCTCGTGGGTGAGTGATTCTGGCATCGTGCCAGGTCGGGAGGACGATAGACGCCGGGTGGCCTGTCGCCTCTGGTGACTGTGCGCGGTGGCCACAAGCAGTAGCCCGAGGCCACAGTGGTTGGTGCCCGGGGCTACAGGTGATTGTGCTTCACTTGTGTCTCGGGGCGCCAGTGAATAGGGGTCGGTCAGCTCCGCCGTGAGCAGTTGGGCTGTTGATAAGCGATGGACGCCGGGTTTGGGGTGGTGTGTATTGTGTGTGCACTATGCTAGTAATATCGTTAGTGTTTAAGTAGTAGTATTAGTGTTTAAGGTGTGTGTTTATTTATTTGTGATTGCACAGGTTGTGTTATGCGGAGTAGGTGTTTAAAATAGCTGATGTGGCTTAATCCTGGATCCTTGTTCGTAATTCTCCTCATCTTTTTGTCCTCTGCATTCACAATGGCACCTACCAGGGAAGATTTGAACAGGCTAAAACTGACCGAGTTACAGAGAGAGCTAGAGTCTAGGGGACTTGATATCACAGGTAAGAAGAACGAGTTAGTGGATAGGCTGTTTGAGGCACTGATAGAATCAGAGACGCCTCCTCCAGCGCAGAAGGAAAGTCCTCAAATGCCCCTTGTGGCACCCGAGTCGGGATCTGCGGTTCCTGATGCTTCCCTACTCTTAGCTCGTTTAAGAATTATCCAGGAGAGACAGCTGGTTGAGCAGGAGAGGATTTCAGTTAGGGCAAAGGCGGAGCAGGATGATTCGAGGCTTCAGGCTCGATCGGAGCAGTTACAGATAGAGTTGCAACTTGCTGAAGTGGGTCACTATGACGAAGCTGCCCTTGAGCCCCTGAGGGTCTCTACAGCTAGTCCGGCTCCGCAGTCAGAGTCCGCGAGTGCACTGTCCTCGCAGGTGAGGCGTGCTCTGCTCCCTCCCACGGAGCTACGTCCATTCACAGGCAACGTGGAAGATTTTCGTTTATTTATGAGCGCCTTCGAGGCTCGTGTTGCCAGTAAGACTGATGATCAGGAGGAACTTTTATTTTATTTGGAACAGTTCACTAGCGGGAAACCGAACCAGCTGGTGAGGAGCTGTCTTCACCTGGGTGCTGCTGGATTCGTTGAGGCCAAGCAGTTACTCGAGACGCGGTACGGTAACACAATATGTTTAGTTGACTCATACGTTGAGAAGGTAAAGGGGTGGTCTCGGATCCTACCCGGAGATGTGGAATCATTGGACAAGTTTGTTCTGTTTCTGACGGAGGTAAAGAACGCCGTATCTGGCGTAGCTTTGAGTGAATTCGAACATCCATCCACTCTCCGCCTGATAGTTTCTAAAGTTCCTCCTCACCTGCAGGATCGGTGGCTTAGAGAAGTAGACCGCCTATGCCAGGAGGGGCGCGCTGTCAGGTTTTCCGATTTAGTTAAGTTTTTGGCCGCTGAGGTTCGGGTCAAGAAGAATCCGCTTTTTGGCCTTCGTTCTGCCAATGCTGACCGCCGGCCGGAGGCTCCTGGTGGACCTCGGAGGCACACGGTCAATGCGGCGCACGTGACAGCGCCGGGGACTCAGCCGGGGACTCAGCGCTGCGTGTACTGTGGCGGTCCCCACAGTGTGGGGGACTGTGAGGTGCTGAGGATGAGGCCGTGGGTCGAGCGGCGAAAGGTCTTTATGCAGCATAAGTTATGTTTTGGGTGCCTAAAAGTGGGGCACCAGGTTCGGTCCTGCCGGCGGCCGCTGGTCTGCGGCGTCTGTGGCGGGCTCCATCCCTCTGTCATGCATGGTGAACCGGGCGGGGGACCGGCACCACCTTGGGTTTCAGGCTCTCGGCCGGGTCAGTGGCATCGGCCGCCGAGTCCTCGCGGTAGTACGTCTCAGAGGATGCAGCATGGTGACATGATTCCGCCCGGCGGAGTCGGGACAGCGGTGGTTCCGCACCGCGGCGGCGCGGGTCCGCCCATGAGTGCGCCGGTGGCGCCGCCTGCTGGTGCGGCGGTGGCGACACCTGTTGGTACGGCGATGGCGCAGTCCGCCGCGGCGGCGGGGTCTGCATCGCGCGGTGGATCCGCAGGCGCTGTTGTAAGTGCAAGCCTTGGACTGCAGGGTGCAGGTCGCACGGCCCTCCCTGTAGTTGCGGTGCGGCTTCGTGCTCCAACAGGCAAAGTGATCGTGACGAATGGGTTTTTTGATCAAGGGTCGTCGGGAAGCTTCCTGACTGAGCGGCTCGCAGAGCGTTTGGGAGTGCAAACTGAGCGCACGACCATCTCTATCGAGACCGTGGGTAACGATAGGAGGAGCATGTCCACCTCGATAGCTCCAGGGTTAGAAGTAAGCGCTCTAAACGGCGGTGAGTTCCACCCTCTACCGCCACTATTGACTATTGACGCGCTTCCGGTCACCCAGGCCGACCGATGTCAGGGAAGTGAGCTAAAGGCTGCGTCCCACCTGGACGGTGTAGAGCTTCACGAGCTGGATGTACCGGTGGAAGTTCTGATCGGTTCTAACTGTGCCGAACTGATTGTGGCGAGAGAGGTTCGTTCTCCTCCCCAGGGCGAGACTGGTCTGTGTGCTGTGCGAAGTGTACTGGGCTGGTATGTGATGGGACCGGTCCGGGAAGCCACCGGTTCGGGAGAGAGGTTCACGGTGAACTTTCTGAGGGTGCAGGAGATGTCTGTTTCTGACCATGACGCTGAGGATAGTTTGTACAGGAAGATGTATGATGATGACTTCAAGGATTTGTCTGACGATCGTGAGCGCTTCTCTGTGGAAGCTCACATTGATGGCTCAGAGGTGGCCGAGTGGGCGCACGTGCCATCCAAGTTGAACCCCGCCGATGTAGGTTCTCGTGGCTGTTATCCTTCAGGCCTGGGACCTGAATTTTTGGATGGTGATGCTGGTGACTGGCCCTCAGACCCAGCGGTTCACGCTGAGATCCCTCCGATTGAGGTGAAGTCCGCTCCAGTGATAGTGGCTCTGGTGTCTGCCGGCACCGGACAGAAGGGTCCAACGGACGCTCTAATCAGTCATTTTTCGTCCTTTGACAGACTCAAACAGGCGGTGTCATGGTATCGGAGGTTCTTCTGTGTCATCCGGAATGGTTCATTTCGGAGGTGGTGTATGACCCGCCGAAGGGGGCTTCGGCGGCGTGACCACGTTGGCGAGACCTCTCTGGTTGTGTCCGACCTGCATGAGGCGGAGCGTGCGATCTTGCGGCACGTCCAGCGGGAACTCCCCGAATTTCCCGGTAGAGACTGTGACGATGGTCCAACTGAAGTGAGTTCGAGTAGTCCTCTGAGAAAGTTACGGCCGACCATGCAGAGTGGTCTGCTGGTGGTTGGTGGTAGGCTGTCTCGATCCGATTGTGTCTCTGAGAGTGAGAAACACCCGGTGATTCTCCCCCGGGATAGTCACGTGACACGATTGGTGATCAGAGAGGCTCACCAGAGAGTCGGTCACGGGGGGAGAGACCACACTTTTTGGGAGCTAAGACGGAAGTTTTGGGTCATTGGAGCGGGAACAGAGGTCCGGAGGTTGATCCGATCTTGTGTGGTGTGTAGACGGGTAAATGCCCGCCCCCAGCATCAGCTGATGGCTGAGCTGCCTCGGGAGCGCGTCTCGGCAGACGCGCCGGCGTTCTCGTCGGTGATGCTGGATGCATTCGGACCAGTGTTGGTCAAGACTGGACGGATTGAGCGAAAACGATATGGACTGATGTGTGTCTGTACGATGACACGAGCTGTTCATGTTGAAATTCTGAGTTCATTGAGTGCTGATTCACTTATCAATGCCATTCGACGCATCAGTGCTCGAAGAGGCCAGATCACCCAAATCCGAAGTGACATGGGAATATATAATACTGAACGAGGCCGGTGTAAATAAATTTTCAAGACCGAGGTCCTTACTGGATTTTTGAACGAGGCCGAAGGCCGAGTTCAAAAATCAGTAAGGACTGAGGTCTTGAAAATTTATCACCGGCCGAGTTTGGTATGTATTTTACTGTATGCCAACGATAAATTTATTTTCTGGACCGAAGCTCTTAGCCGACTTAGGAACGAGACCATCCCAAAATGTTGGCTTAAGTGCATTCTGGTAATGCATTTTTGACCGTGGTCAATTTGCTTACACCAGTTATTACCACACCCCTCTGGCTAATGTATTTGAATAGGCCAGGCATACAGTAACGAACTTAACTGGCGCCGATCGCGAACTCCGGTGAGGCGCTGAGAGAGGTTCGCCAGAGTGATCTGCAGCGCGCGGCGCTGAAGCAGGGTATCGATTGGAGTTTCAACCCTCCAACTGCTTCTCACTACGCTGGTGGTGTCGAAAGACAGATCCGGACGTTTCGTAAAATCTGGCGATCTATGCCTACTCAGCGTGTAGATGACGAAACGCTCAGTACCTTGTTCTGTGAAATCGAGTCGATCATGAACAGTCGCCCATTGACATACGTGTCGACGGCCTCGGGTCAGGTGGAACCCCTGACGCCGGGTCACCTGTTATTCCTGAGGGGTTGCGTCGGACCCATTCCTGGTGAGTTTTCTGAGGCCGACTCATTGCCGCGGCGCCGATGGCGTCATGTACAGTATTTGGCTCAGGAGTTCTGGCACCGCTGGAAGCGGGAGTATTTGTTATCACTGCAGACGCGACAGAAGTGGACGCGTACTGCCACGAACCTGGGACCGGGTGATATTGTTTTGTTAGTAGATCAAGATGTACCTAGAGGTAAGTGGCGGATGGGGAAGATAGTTAAGGTTTTTCCCAGCCGGGACGGGCTGGTTCGAAAGGCTCTGGTTAAAACGTCTACGTCGGAATACCTGAGGCCAATCCATAAGATGGTCCTGATCAGCACGGAGTCTGATCTGCAGTAGACGTGCAGTGTCCGCGTGCCATTGTGGGTATTTGTTTGAACGGACCTGCAGCTGTAGTGTACGATATGTATAAGGCAAACATCAGGTGAGTGACTTATGTAGAATTCGTGTAGTTACGTTTTAGTTGGTAAGTGCAGTGTCCCAACGGGATAATTGTTTGGGTTAATTGTTTGCTAGTTGTTAGATAAGTAAGGCCGTCAGGATGTTGTTTGAACTGATGCAGCTGTTAGCTCGTTAAGTCCGTAAACCACTGATGGTGACTTGACTTTGATCGGGCGCCGTGTTCTGTTAGTTCGGCCGCCCTTGCTCCGGTCGTCCGAAGGGGGGAGTGTTAATGGCGCCCGCGGTCCGCATTGAATCACTCACCCTTCCTTTGATGCCACACGTCAGCAGCTCTAGCTGAGTCGGACTTGCACCTCTAGCTGAGTCGGGCGAGTGCCGATGTGGCAGCTGGCCGCGGTCACGTGACCGAGCGTGACCCTTGTGCAGGCCGAGTAGAGGGCGTTGTTTTGTGCCCAGTGTGCTGAGGGGCGGACGTGTGAGCTGGAGCTGCGCGAACTGTAAGTGGATTTTGTATTTGAATTATACTTTGTTCTTTCTTGATATTGCTATAAACATGCTGATCGATTCATTAACGTAATATAGCTGGTTGTTCGAGTTTGATTTATGTATACGTGTTTACTTTCGCTAGGCAGAGTGAGCACCGCGGAGTCGGGCTGCTCGTGAGTCCGGGGATGTTTGGCGGCCGAGCTGTGGCTGTGGGTTCCCCCGTGACTGACCGTGTGGACGGAGCGATCTTCGTGACAAGATCGACTCGTTGAGCGCCGGAGACGTGAACAGCCGGTATGTTTAACGTTGTGTCTGAATTACTGTACGAAGTTGCCCGAATTGTTAAGTGTTAATTAATCGAGTAAATGATAGCGCTAATAGTAATTTTGGTTATAGAATTGCAGCAATATTTATTTCATGTAATGTTCAATGCACGGCTCACAATATGTCGTTTTGTTCGGACATGTCGGTTGTGGACGTGATTGTGTACTGACCGGTGCATTGTCTGTGTGTTTGTGTCCGGGCAGTAACGGACAGTTTCGGACTGCCTCGAGAGCTGCAGACGAATAGAGGTCCAGTTGACGGCACAGCGTGTTTGACTACGAGGGCGCTCGGTTTGGCCCACGGCTGAGGCCGTGGCGGCTACACCATGAATGAATCTTTCTTCTCGTGATGAAGCATATTATAGATAAATGAAATACCCGCTTCTCCCTTGGCGCTAATCATTCCAAGCCAATACGAAGAGAAGGGAAACGGTGGTACCTATCTCATAAATAAATAAAGTTATGCATTTGTTATGCCACTGGAGTGTCATTATCAAGAACCATTGCTTCAGAACACGAATATCAACCTTTGTTAGCTCTTTTGAGTCTCTTCAACTACAACAATCCCACTTCAATAACGACCCCGCTGTAATTGGGACGTGGGCTTACTGATATGCCCCTTGCCCAGTGCCCACTTCTTATCTTCATGAACTTTAGCGCTTTCACTTGTATGTAATGGGCACGCACTGGGCAGGATAAAGATAGGGCGGGCATTCCTCCCAGATTGAAAACATCCAGGTTTTCCGCCAAGTATTGGTCTAATTAGATTTCATTATATTTGAATGCTCTGTTGATCTGTACCATACAATAATTTGCAAATGTGAGATTACATGATGCTTCGTGGAACCATAAAAGAGTTCGAGTTATAAGGGTGGTTTTACCAACCACTCAAGAGCCAAGAGGCAGCTTTGCCAGCTTTTGCACCACTCGAGAATACGAGTAAGCGCATAATCTTACGTCGAACAGGATAGGCGCATAACAGCGCACCGCCCAAGCCGGAAATAAAACATGGTACTACGCACTACGCCGCATTGGCCGGAGTCTTACTAAGCTCTTATACATGCCGAGCAGCACCGCACTGGACGGAGACTCAACGAGGTTCCGCACAGCGCAGGGCAGAATCAGAAAGCTTACCTAAATCCAGCTCAGCGCAGGGCAGCACTGTGCTGTTTCCCTGCCGCACAGTGTGTTGTCTAGGGAAGCAGTCTCACATAAACCTGTACAGCGCAGGGCAGCACTGTGCTGTTTCCTTGTCACACTGTGTGATGTCTGGAAACGGAAACTTACCGAGATCTTGTACAGTGCAGGGCAGCACTGTGCTGTTACCTTGCCGCACTGTGTGCTGTCTACGGACAGTGACTTACCGAGATCCTGCACAGCACAGGGCAGCACTGTGCTGTTTCCCTGCCGCACAGTGTGCTGTCCAGAGACAGAAAGGAACTGGGGCGGATACAGCGTGTCCGGACGGTCGTACGTCGGGTAGTCGTAACTGTACCCGGTCCGTGACGCCAGACCTGCAACGGATAGAACGCGGCAGGTCAAACAAGGAGCAAGCTAGTGGTCAAGACAGGTGGCATGACAGAGCTCAAGAAAAATTACATGACGGTTATCAAGGCAGGTTGCATGCAAGTGAGTGGTCAAGACAGGTCACAATTCTCATACTAATAAGTAATAAACCATTTCTTTTCTCTATTTTCATGTTGAGGGTAGGGTACTGTAAAACACCTCACCAGTTGGGTCAGGTAAATCCTTTGTACTTAGTAGCGACATTCCTTTAAACACGTTATCAGTAGCTATTAGCGGCATTCCTTTCAGAAAGTGCGTGGGTTTGGCGTTACAATAGGCAGCGATGAAACACATCAGGCTTTTTTATTGGCCTCCTCACCCTCAGGCGAGGGCGTCTAAGGACCTGTGGCGAGGGAGCGAGCGCAGCCGATAGTTGAAACTGCGGGGGCCCATTCAGGAAGCGTCAGGACGGCGCCGCGCAACGATTATCTGTCATGGGCAGGCACGGATGGAAATGCCCACATCAAGGCCCACATTTTCCTTTGTGGTGAGACTCTCTGAGGCTTATTCAGCGGAGTTATGACACGTGCTACTCGAGATGGCTCAGTTGTGGTGGCGGGCGTCTGAAACTGGCAGTCAGACACAGGGACACATGTCTGCAGTGTGATACTGAGAGTCAGGGAATGCTGAAAGAATCTACCATTACATAGACCACTATATATCTAGTGGTATATAGTGGTCTATGACCCACAACATCGGCTCCCACGCACACTGAGAAAGTGCAGCGCCTGCAACGGATTCCAGGCACAAACCGGAAAGCGTTAAGTACCGAGCACCGACCCGGACACACACCCTAAAAAGGCAGTCACACTACCGCATTCGCAACCGCTTACACTGGAAGAGTGTAGTCGTCATCACGAGCACTGGACCCCGGCAACAGGCACTATATTTACCCCCACCTCCAGGAGCCGGTACGTCCCATTCCCGTGGGGACGTGCCCACACCATCGAGCCCCAGCACGGCCCAGATGTGGCCCAGGTCCATGAAAGTGCTCGCGCACCAGGATTGTCCGCATAGCACGAGAGTAACCGAGCGCGACCACCGCGTCGGTAAGGCGATTCTGATTGGATTCGCCTTACTATATAGCCGATGCTTGCATACGATTAGTAGTTGAGCGTAACCTGCGGACAGTTACAGAAGCGCCAGATATGCGTTCCAAATGTAGGTTGGAATCCAGATCGTTAGGCCGAACCGCCCGCCACTAATGAAATAGACCCACCGCTTCTGCACGGTTATTAGTTTAATGCTCCCGAGTCGGCAATATTGGGATTGTGTATCGACGGAAGAGTAAGACAGCGCGGTCGTCGGCGGCCGCGTGTCGGCGTCGACGGGGTCGTGTGTAACAGATGACGTGTCAGTGCGCGGCCGCAGCGGGGAAACTTGCGACCATCCGTTACCGGCGGGAGTGTCACGCCGGTCCCCGCACGGCGGAGAGCGGCGCCGCGGGCAAACAGTGAGACAGGGTGAGAGGGAATATGCCATCCGGCACGAGCGATGCATACATACAGAGAAGGCTTAGATATCACCAGCGCAGCACATACGAGAGGTACATACGATCGGTGGCGGCGGATTGGGGCCATTTGAACGCGGCTGGGTGACCTGTCCACCTAGATATATGTGCCTGTGCTAACAACAGGAGTCCGGATCGGCTGCAGAAGCGAACCAGTCGCTGCTTTGATCGATTCACTGTAGCCAATCATACCGTGTTGACATAATGCCTCAAGATCTTGTGTCGTTCTCAGCTTCGATTTAAATCTGCAAACCACGAAAAGGAAAAAAGCAGGGTTGGGAATGGTGTGCACTATGAAACCCAGTCGATCAAACAGATCAAACACTATAGTCTCTATACATACGTCAGGGTGAGGCACACTGTCACCTGACAGCATTGTCATCTCCGAATCACTAGTCACCTCAAGGAGTGAGCGGAAGGTCGAACATTAATTCATGTTTGAACTGCGCTGCCTCAAATGCTTCAAAGTATCATAAAATGTGGTTTCCAGTAAGGAAAGTCTTCTAAACAATCATGGAAGAACATTTAGTATGTAACAATTTAACAAATTACAGCTGGGCCATATTCGCCGTAAGGCCCTGGCCCTGTTACCTTCCGCCTAACTCACAAATAGACGGTCATTACATTATTTAGTGCTCTAGCTAGAAACATTTTAGGTGTAGTATTGCTCATATGACTGTTGCAATGGTGCTTTCTTCGTAATAAATGGCGCTACTGGGAAATGTGGCCTGGTTCAAAATTCATTTGACATGTGCTGGTAGTGGCCACATTTTTACAAGACCATCACCGCTTACCCGCAGTAGCTAATGTAGCAGATTCCTATACGATTTTTATAATTATACAGGGTGGACCAAAAAGGATGGAAGCATTTTAAACTCGTATAAAACATGTATCATTGCATGCATGTGACTGGGAATGATACCAAGCAAGAGTACATTGCGTGGAAATTCATAATGGCATCACTCTCATATGCTTTCTCTCGTTTTCAGTCTCACAGCAGATGTTCGAAGTGACCACCTTCGCGAGACAGGCACAGAGCGACCAGCCTGGCTGCTGACACGATAGCCCGCTTGTATGGCTCACACAGCCTTGCTGATCGCTCTCTTCAGTTCACAGGCTTTCTGGACCTTCCTTGTAGACCTGGCCCTTGAGATGATCCCACAGTAAAACATCCATAGGGGTCAGGTCGGATGAGCAGGTAGGCCAGTTCCGACTGGCACCGCGGGATATCACCGAAGTGGTTTTCGATGCAGTTGAGCGTTGTTTTTGCGATGTGAGGAGGCTTGCTGGAACCACATAAGGTCTATGATGAGGCTGCCATGCTTCGTTTGGACTCGCTCTCAGAACTTCCTCAGCGCCGCCTGGTATGCGCTGTTGATTGACGGTCACGGTGTCGCCGCTCCCTTCCTCGAACCAAAGTGGACCCACGATTCCTTTTCCGCTGAGGGCACACCATTTCGCCTTCGGTGACCTTGCTGCTGTGCAGTGACTTCTTTATCATCTCATCTCAAGAGTCAAGTCTACAAGGAAGGTCTCTGTGACATGAAGAGAGCGATCACCAAGACTGTGTGAGCCATACCAGCGAACATGTGTCGTCGGGCTATCGCGTCAGCCACCAGACCGGCCGCTCTGTGCCTGTCTCGCGAAGGCGGTCTCTTCGAACATTTGCTGTGAGAGACTGAAAACAAGAGAAAGCAGATGAGAGTGATGCCGTTATGAATTTCCACGAAATGTACTCTCGTTTGGTACCATTTCCAGTCACATGCATGCAATAATGCATGTTTTATGCGGGTTCAAAATGTTCCCATCCTTTTTGGTCCATCCTGTACACAATGCATGGTTGAGGTTTCCATTCTTAAACCATATCGAACGAATAGGATATGGGGAGGAGGGGGGGGGGGGGAGTGCCCCCGTTCTATCCTACCGGGCTGGGAATGCAAGGAATCTAGTACGTAAGCGGTTGGTTGGTATTTGCGATTTTATATGCTCTATTAGACTCAAGCTGCAGCCACTATTAGCACTGGTGCTGAGTCTGCTCCTTTCCACCCTTTCAATATTCGGTTAGCGACAGTGAACACCGTCCTAACCGGCAGATCCATGGTTTATGGCGCGAAAAGTCAGCGCCACTATATTTCACCAGCTGACCGAGATCGTCCACTGAGTCTGGCACGGTAACAAAACGCATAAAAACCCATCCAATCGCAAATCGACATCACAAATCAGCCCATTGTTGCAACATGCTCGTGCGTCACATGACATCTCCTATGGATATCTAACGGAGGGCGCTGACGTAGCCGTTGGGACCATCCTTCCGAATCGGAATACCTAAACTTGGTTCCAGCAGGAGAGACAAAGTATCGAATTGTGTTTACTTACTTACGGGAAATGATTAACCGATTGACCAACGCAGTTGTTTTTGCCAACGACGAAACCCGTTCAAATGTCTTCCTCAATAAGCCTTAATGAATAAATCAATCATGTTGATGTGTCCTGTTCAAAACCTTTAATGATTTCCAGACGACAACGACAACAGCTGCATGGGATTTATTACGCTTCACCTGAGGCCTGTTTCACTAAAAACTTGCGATTACAAGTGTTTGAACTTTACAATTCATAAGTATTTTTGCAAACTATGTAAAATCGGATTTCACTAAACTTCATCACCAGCGGCACCTCCGATAAAAAGAGTTTGCAAAAAAACTTGTGAACAGTAAAAATGTTTTTAATCAAGAACTACAACATGTTACAGATATTGCTTCTTTTTATCAAATTATGTCCAGTATTCATGTCAAAAAATGCATGAATAAATCATAAATAATGATGCTGTTTCTAAATGGTATAAATGATAGTTCATAATATCTTATTATTGAAAGAAAATAACACGCAAAACATTTAACAGCAGAAGACTGTTCAATGCAATTATGGCGCGCGAACGACAAAACATGACGATATTTATTTATTCCTCGTAGCTGGTTCGTAGGGATTGTGCTAAGTAAAAAAGAGCATATAATGACTCAGCATATCATATTTGTTTTAAATAATTGATTGCTTTGCATCGTTGCACAAAAAGTAATAACATTCCGAACCGAACGTAAGAGCCACTGGCATATCGGGTTTGTAAGTACAACGTTTTCTTTCAAGTTTTTGGTCTTCGTGAAACAGAAAGTTTGCGATTTCTTTGTTTCTTACAAACTTTTTTCTTGTAAAAAAGTTGGTAAATTTTAAACTCAAAATTCATGCTCGGAGGTTTCGTGAAATCCAAATTTCAAATGTTGGTAAATATTTCTTTTAAACTCAAGTTTTTTCTTTGTAATTACACACTTTATTTGTTAGTGAAACAGGCCTCCGAGGTAAAAAAGAGCAACACCAAGAAAGAAATCATTAGAATATATGACCTTCTCCTCGGAAAATGACCAAATGAATGAAAATGATTATTTA